ACATTATTCGCGCTGTAACGTCGCGGGGGAAGGACAACTGAAACACGAGGTTGGTGGCCGATGGTCAAGCCCGGTGACCGAGTGACAGCCAAGGAATGGAACGTGGCCGAGCGGCCGCGCCCAGAGGAGATGTAGCGACTAAATGTCCTCGTTTGCAGGCGCCAAGTGGATTATTTACACGGCAGGTTTGCGAGAGACGGTTACCCAATTGGGGCGGCCCTACAACCAACCGATGATCATGATATATACACACACGTGTGTCCATTATAGTAAAGGGCTGCTTTGTGGGAAGAGTGGTTGCCGATGGCGATAACGGCCATCACCATGGAATGTGGAATGTTTTGGCACGACGTCTGGAGGCGAGCACCGTCATAATGAGCAAGGCAAATTGGAGATTCAAGTAATGTTTGAATACATTTTTAAACGTATACAATTCCTACGAAGTGTGAACGTCGATTTTCATGACTCCTCAAGCCGTGTGGTTACATTTGTTTGTCGTTTTTTTGTAACGTGGAACAGAATAAAAAATATTACATTTGACGTTTTAGAGTCTCAAGATGCAATAGAATAGAGTTGTATTACAATTACTTGAAAGTCAAAAAGTGACCCTGCACAAATTAGCCCTGGGGCAATGGCAATGCTCATCTCTATTAACGGCTCAGCCAAGGAGGAATACATATTCCACATTCCCAGACAAGAGCCAGTCCATCCGTGCAATAACCACTGTAGACTTCAACACAAAAAGGGTACACGGATTTCATCAGCATCTTGAGACATGACAGGTTGAAACGCTTTAAACTCAAGGCCATCTCGGTTGAGTGCAAGCAATGTCCACACGGCCAATGCTCGGGGCTCATTTCCTGCCGGGGCGATGGGCCTTTTGTCAGTGCTGCTCCCAGGCTTTGGAAAACGCTTTGCCGCCTTCGCCGATAAGGGGGTCGCGGTTCGAGCCATTTGAGTGTGTCATCAAAACTCGCACTTCTTTCAAACTGGCCTTCAGCAATTGGCACCGTTGGCTCGGTGTGTTACGGAAGAAGATCAACGTGCATACAAACATTTACCCCCCTCTTGTTACGGCCAGTTTACCCCAGTTCGATGGAGGAAGCCACTGGAGCTATGCACTATTAAATCTAGATTGAAAAATAATTTCTTTACAACGGCGTTGTGTTTAGCTTGTTGTCATTACGCCGCACCTCCAATGAGCTCGGTTAGCTGTTACGGTGCGAAAGAAGTTCAACATAATTCATGTCCTGGTTTCGATAAACGGCGCATTGGGATATCCAGGCATGAAATGCATCTTTAGAGAATGTAAATAATTGTCGTCATTAGTGTTGTTGTTGCTGCTGCAATGCCTTCCTCCTACACAGTAGAGCGCACCGCTGGGAGGGTCACAACCACTTGCCTGTCACGGATGTGTAGCGACGCTTCGGAGTGTCGCCGTTCGAGATGGTGGCGCCGGCAGACACCTGCGACGGAGGGCCACCTGCCAATAGAACGCAGGGGGGGTGGTGGTGATGGGTATTGGGTACCACCGATTTGCATCGCTACGGCAGCGCCCACACTCTCTCAATGAAGGCCAAAGCTGGCCTAGGTGCGTTTAAAGCAATTGCGCTGTATTAGGGACAAGCGCGAGCATTGAATGACAATTACATTAGATTTGTGAATGCAAGTGCAATTATTTATGGATTTTAACAATCACTGGACATTAGACAATGTTCCTCTTGTTAAGGGCGAGACCGGAAGAGCTAATTAATTTAAATAATGCAGTTTCATTCACAGCCCATTTAATTGTATGTGAATATGCTAATTTGGCAAGCCTAACTACTCTGAACCTGTTTTTACATTAAATTGACCCAATTCCTGTGGAAACAAAACTAATCGAGTCCACAATGATATGCCTTCAATGTATTGGTACAAACTTCGAGCTATATTCCCGTAATCAAAAACAAATCCCGACCTTCCAGTTCACGATAAGCAAAGTGCTCATCGTCACCATGTTCCAAGCCAGTGGTGGAAACTCCATGTTCTCGTGACGCGACTAATATCACCACACGGACCAACTACCGACTACCAACAACATTCCACTCCCTCGTTCTCTCGTACCCAGAGGTTACGATCACCAACTGCCAACCAGAAGTCTTCTTCCGAATTGGTCGCAGGGGGGGGGGCAGCTTTTACGACATTGCAATGCCTTCCTGGAACCTCTATCGTCAATAGGATCGTTGTAAAATCTAGAAACATAAACGTCGTAAAAGTTCAGAGTAAACCGGAGACTACCTGTACATTAACAACAGCCAATTACAGCAACTGCGTCACCGACAAAAGACAAAGCTCATCCATGTAACCTGAACAGGCTGTTGGGGCAAGTGATGTTAGCGAGCACCTATGAAGGCCGGCATGGCACATGTGGGTGGCCAACACCACGTCTATCCGCCTTTGTCTCCCCAGTGGCGATGTTTACTACACCGCACGAGTGAATCATCCGAGGCAGAGTCGACTGGGGGGGGGGGGCGGCCCAGGACCTGGTTCAGATTCAAGTTTCATGTATTCGGTATAACCCTGTGAGCCATGTGGTTCTTGAGTCGGGTGCAACCGCAACAAACAAAATATGAACAGAAAATATCTTAAAGCGACAACGCGCAACAGAAACATCCCAGATAAACCAGCAAATCTTCCAGAAAAAAACCACCGCATTACAACGCTGTGTGCAAAAAAAAGATCATCGTCATTGGTGTTGTCCGTGAGCGGGAATCGAACTCGGACCGCCGGGTTGGGTAGTGCAGCACGCCACCCGAATCACACGCGCGCACACACACACACACGTGCGCTCGTAAACACGTGCGCGCCCGCCCCTACACTCGGCTGTACTCGCGACACGAGCACCCCCTGCTGCCACCGCCACCGCAGTCCCCTCCGCCCCCACACCTCTCCGTACGTTTTGCGCCACGATGCGCGGCGTGCCCACTGCGATCGCTGTCCGTGGACTGGGTGCTGGCGACGGATGCGGAGCCGGGGCTGGGGCTGCGCTTCCTCAAGGCGGGCAGGGCCAGAAGCTTTTGGCAGTGCTGGGCAGAGAAGTCGGTGGCTGTGGCGGCGGCCGAGGCCAAGGATGCCCTGGCGACAGCCTTGCGGGCAGCCGTGCTGGTCTGGGCATCACCTGCGTTGCGGTGCAAACGCAGCAGAAGCAGCGGCAGACGCTGAACGCGCAATTTGGCTTTCACGTCGATCTGGTGGCACGCACACACCTACGATTGGCACGGTTCACTACGTAACGGTGCGAAAGAAATGGATTCTAAGAAAATGTTTCTCCATATTTTTCTGGCAACAAAACAGTTGTGTTAAGATGTTAAAACACCAAACTGAAACCTTTTACAAGGCATCATGTCTGCATTAACCACAATGCTTGTGGTTAGAATGCAAACAAAAAAATCTGATAACATATGCATCGTCTTTGAAGCCAATTGGTCCTCTCCAGAGACGGCTTTCTTTAGAGCCTAGTCTCAAACAGTTTTAACAGAAATGTATTAAACACATGTACGTCACTCCACGCGTCCATGTTTCACCTGCGCGTAGAGTCCGCCAGTAGGAGGGGGGGGGGGGCGACTGTTGCCGTAGTTTTTCCCCTTTAAATAATTCAGCAATGCAAGATGCAGTCGAGTGTTTCAGTCAAGTGTGTTTGTCAGTGAGGTTACTTCGCTGGTAAAATAAGATGCACCACGAGGCCCTTGAAATTTAGGTGCAGGTCAGCAAGCAGACGGATGCATTTGACACGTCGCTTCACCCACCATTCATTCTCAAGAGTCCCTTAACAATTTCCATCTTACACCTTTACACCCCATGCGAAGGAGCAATCTACAATACTCTGCAAGTACTGCTGCTATGCAGTTGGATGAAGCCATTAGGATGGCCTGACAAACATTAGCACGATTACATGTTCAGTAACACGATTACAAGTTCAAAACATCATTCCTCTGGAGTCGATAAAACATGTACTGCACCACTTTGTGCAAAGGAAAAATGTGGAATGTTTCCCATTGATTCTAGACCATCATGGAGCACCGCTGTACAATGGCGCACGGTGGCAGCGGTGGTGACGACAGGCGAGGATTCAGTAGAAAGGCCACGAGGTACACCCACACCGAGGGTTCCCCACTAGTCGCGACTGCACCACTAGGCCACCTGTTTTGATGCAAATATCAATGATAACGTGGAGCATGCGAAGGAGTGGCCCATCACAAAGCAGGTCACAGGAGGCTTTATTCAACCAGCTACAAAGCAATGCCCTTCGGCACTTCAGTTACTACCCATCTCAAAGAGTGTCATTTCTTTTTTGCAATTAAATTGGTACAAATTTTTATTTAACTGGCGACCAATTTATTTAACACTCTGCATTAGCCACGTGTCGCATATGGGTATGTAGAACGTATTTCGCAGCTGCTATGTTTAGAACACTGCTGGGTATGAGCCCTCCACCGTAGCAGATTGACCCGTATGTGAAATACACATTAGAAAAGAGATGTGCAATAAAAAAAATTGCCATGTTAATACGAATTAAATTGGAAGAAACTACAAAATAAACACCGGCTCTAGCTACACTGCACGAGCAAATCCAGCGAGCGCCGGTCGTCGCGGGGAACCTGCGGCGAAGGTAATGTTGGGGTTGTCCGGTTGTGGCCGAGCGGCGACGGTGGCGCGTGTGGCAGGAAGCCTGGAGGCTCCTCGGCATCCGGGTAGGAAGGAGGGGGGCCTCATCGCCGTGGGGCGGCCCCTGCCGGCGGATGAGACGGGGCCCGTGGAACGCAGGCTCCCGTTGGAAGGTTGGAGCAGGCATCCAGCAGCGACCTTGGAGGAGTCTCTCCCATCATCGACCTGAATCTGCAATGTTACGTATGCATGTAAAACTTGTTTGGCACTGCAACGTAGCCAACCGCGCTAAAATCGAGGTTCTAAAGAAATTAGTTTTCCATCTAGATTGACGAGTGGATAGCTCCAGTGGCTTCCTAATAACAAAGTACACACGGCGGCGCAGAGCCACGCACGACGCGAGCCGAAGCAGCGGAGAGTTTAGAGAGGCGGCGACTCGGCCTGCCGCTCGTTTCAGGTGGTGCAAGGTTCGAATTCTGCGGGCGTCGCACAATTATTATGGCGGGTGCGGTAACCGCAACAAAGACAGTCCACGTGCTTCACAATGGAGGTGAAAGATAGTGACGTCAAGAACAAGGGTAGCCGCCCATTGCGCGCCAGCGTCCGGGTCAAAATTGGAAAGGTAACCGTGCAATTTTTCTGAATTGGGAGTGTAACATGGCCATCATCTATCCGTTTACTGACAAAACTTGGCAGGATCCTCCCAAAAAGGTGTCCAACTGAGCAAGCCTCTCAGGGATAATAAACAAGCGTCAATAAAACAATGGGTCACTGCCAAGCAGAGGTGGGACAAAGTCATTGTTATGCAAGTCCAAGTCGAGTCTGAAGTCATCAAAATCATGACTCGAGTCTGACTCGAGTCCAAGTCACATGACTCGAGTCCACACCTCAGAGGTGGGACAAAGTCATTGTTATGCAAGTCCAAGTCGAGTCTGAAGTCATCAAATTCATGACTCGAGTCTGACTCGAGTCCAAGTCACATGACTCGAGTCCACACCTCTGCTGCCAAGTGTGCACGTTGAATGTGGATGACCCCGTTAACAAACAAAAATTACAATTATATAAAAGGCAAACCGCGAGACCCCCACCTTGCTTCTTGGCATTTCGCACAGGCCGTGCTGCTGCCAGCAGCCACGCCCTGCCCCGTTGGAACTTAATGTTCATATTCTCCCCAAAAACACGCAACATCAAGAAAGTTCCCAGCACATTCGTGGTTACTTGTGTGTTATTTCATTAGGCAAAATTATATGGAAAGCACAAAGACGTGATTTGAAGGGCACGCGTCGAATTGTGATGCACGACATTACTGCGTCAAAACACGTTTAATTACACGGTCGGTCTGTGACGGCGACATCAATAATTTACGCACGCAAACTCACTCCATTAATTTGAAGGAGCCAATAGTTCAATGTAATATCAACATCGATCATGATACAATTATCGAACAAAATAGATGTTAAGATAAATGTCTTTTTACTTAAAACCAATCTTCAGTCTGTAAGAAATTAGTGGTTACCACAAATCTATGGTAAATTAATATTAGGAATGGCCAAGTGGTTTTTGCACAGCATAAGGCAGTGCAGCAATTTTCACTGGAATTCTATGCTGCACCCTATGACCATGGTGAAGTATGGTTAAATATCCCCACAACGCTCAAAACGATGATAAAATGGGCGTACGTGAACACGTGCACAACGATAGCGCGACAAAGCACAATAGTCCAATAGAAAGGGGCATCCAGCTTTGGGAATGTGGAATGTCCACTCCTCATGGCTGCCCACAAATAATTCCTTTTTGGAGCATGGAGACAATTTGAGTGCGTTACGGTAATGAATGTAATTGAATAGTACAAACAAATCCTTTTATGCCCAGGAAAGTCTTTGCGTACCAAAAGTTTTTCAAAATCAGGTCATAACTTGGATGTTTGGCAAAAATGTTTTTGTATTTAGCTGCGATACATTTCTACATAAGCCACTTAGTTGTGGCCAGGTCGCTTCTAAAAATGCATACAGCTTCGTGGGCTTTACCTTGCGAAATAAAACATAGTTGAGTTTATATTCCTGAGTCTTTCGGTAAAGTCACGCAGATAGGTTCAAAGAAAATAACATCCACGTGACTTTACCGAAAGACCCAAGAATATGAATTCCTGCAGTCACGAACGCTTCAAGTCAAGATAGAGTCGGGTTTAGTTTATTTGTTTACAGAAAATAGGAGGAAACCCAAGTGGATAGACAATTCATGTGTATGAACAGACAAATCAAAACGATAAAAATAGGAAAAATAAACCACTTAGTTGCCACACTGCCTTTTACTAGCCAAGTCTTAGCCACCCTGGCAGGTGTCTCCCACACCCAAGCCCAGACCATTTAGCATTTTCATACACTGCAATGTATTATGATTAGATATTACAGTACATATTCCCTCATTCACGAAGGATACGTTCTGGAGATGCCCGTGAGTAGTAAATTGTATGGAAAATGTTGGTCTACAAAAACCCATCGTTTCTAATTAATTATCTTAAATAAACGGTCTCGCATCGCTCTACCGCATCACATCCTCTCGCACCACTTTCTCACTTTCTTTCCCACTCTCGATGCAGTTGCATAGTGCCAGATGCGATTCGCGGATAGCCAAAAACCGCGGATAGCAACTTCGCGAGTAACGGGGGAACAATGCTGCATCCATTTCTCACCATTGTCAAATTCGCGCTTCCGACTGCATCTTCCTCCAGCGGCACACCGTCGACAGCATCCCTCACGGGCGCGACGGGCTCTGCTTTGCCGCCATGTGTGGGTCTCGTTGGAGCCCTCAGTTTGGAGCCAAACGGAGGCTTGAGCTGCCTCGCCCTGACTTGGCCGCTGGATGGAGCGCCCTTCTCCGAGTGGCCGTCCCCCGGGCCGTTTAGCTGTCGCCTCTGGGCGGAGACCACGACGTTCGGTGCTTGGGCCAGTGCAGAGGCCCTCGCAGGGAGGCGCATCGGCAGCTTCATGGCCCTGGGTGACGGCCTCACCGCGTTGGCCAACGGGACCTTGGGGGACATGTTCACGGCCCCCAAGACGGAGGGCCCATCGCCGTCCAGATGGGGGCAGCCCAAGACTTTACTCGGCTTTTGCGGAGTGACGGCGGCAACGGTTCTCCTCCCTACGGCGGCTGCGGTTACCCCGGCCTTCACCGGTGTGCACAGCTTGCTCGAGCTGCCAGGCTTCGACGGCGTGTTTGTCAATTTCCTCGCAACACCGTCAATCACCTGCTGCCTTGGCCTTGTGGGGCTGCCGTATTTGGTGGGGCCAGCTGCCAACAATTTTGTTGGACACAGCGATGAAGGGAGCGCCCGTCTTGGAAACGTTGGCAAGCCCCTGGCTTTGATCGCTGCTGCAGAATTGTCTCTTGGCTGCATCACGGCCGACGCTTTGACCTTTGACGGCAACAATTCACCTGGTGCGTCCACACCGGCCATGCGACGTCCCGTGGGATCTGTGGCCTTCACGGGATGCTTAAACTTCTGAACGTTTGTGACGGTGGCACGGGCAACCCGACCTTCAACCACAGTGGCTGGGATTCTCTCCATGGACTTGTTTGGATTTGACTTCTGCAGCTTCTTCTGCATCACGTCGAGGCTCCAAGCTTTTCGGACAACTGTCGGTAGCTTTTTGCCATTTGAAGTTTGATCGTCCATTGTCACCCCCCGACCAATCAGCGTTTTCTTGGACGCCTTGACGGCTGTGCTTTCTGCTCTCCTGTTGATATAAACCGGCAGCGTTTGTTTGTCAAAGTTGAATTGCTGCGGCAAGCCATTCAAAGAGGATCTCGACGAGGAAGATATGGTCGAAATCTCACCGAGATCGTTGTCTCCAGCAAACATCACCGCAGGCACGAGGGTTCGTGCACACCCATCGTCAACGAGCGGAGTGGACGTGGTGCGACCATTCAAGCTTACTTTTTGTAAATCAGAGGGGCCGTTGGGCGAATGCTTATACTTTAACATACCGTGGTCACCAGGAATGCGCCGATGATTAATGTCACTACCCAAGGGTGCACCAATCTGGGCTCTCTTTGGGTCGTTAATGCAAAGAGGCCCATTTTCACAACCGGCCTTTGGCAGTACACCAAATCCCTTTTGCCTTTTTGTATCAACGAGTTTATTTTCCACCATTGCAGTTGGCAGACTTGTCACAGCAGAATTGAGATCTTGAGAAGCCACGGTCATCATCGTAGAATCTATAGCAGGCAGCGAAAGCGCTTGTGTGACGTTGACCGCCATCTTCTCCACTGCGACCACCTCCGCTGCACGGCCAGTGGAAGACGCCGCATCTTCGGCTCTGCCAAGTGCACACATTGCCTCATCGAGTGCACCGTGTTCAAGAGCTGGCAATGCTGTCGCGTTGAGCCACAACATAAATTTCTGCTGTTCACTGGCAGCCGCTTGGTTCGCGTGTTGACGTTCGGCCATCGGATCCAGCACTTTTGCGTTTTTCCGCGGCAGCATGGACTGCATCGGCGAGCACTCGTACATTTCTCGAACGATGTTGGAGGTTTCATTCCAGGTCAGACACCGCAACGGGTTGTCCGCGCTGGAATTCAACGACTCCCACTTCTGCAGATTCCTCTTCCTGATCTCGTTAATTATGGCCACGCAATCCTTCTTGATGCAGCTGTTGTACGCAAAGCTGTCGCAAGCAGGGCCCCGCAGCAGCTCAGCGTTGCTCTCGTCAACAGACGGCTGCCGCTGAACGCGTTGCTGTGCGGTGCCAAGCAAGGGGATTTCCTTCTGCATCGCGTCGGTGCCCACGGGACCATGGTGAAAACATCCCAGGACTGGGCTGAAAGCCATTGGAGTTTTGCAAGGTGGGACGGCACGAGCGATTGGACTGCTAGATTTGATGGCCCTCGGCGTCAGTGCAGATGGGTTTGAAGCGTGGTTTTGAGGTGCCACGCATTTGGGCTGTGCTATAAATTTACTGGTTCCTGTATCGTCCTCACAACAGCAGAGATTTCCATCCAAAGCATTCTCAACGTGGAAATTCACACAATGTGTTCCTGGACAACTGAAAAATGTTGTGTTGCTCTGCATTTTGTCGCCACGGTATAAATCTTCGTACGAACCCAAAGGTTTACATCCCAGCAACTCATCTTCAGTTTCCAAAGTACAGTCCTGACTAAATATTGTATGCTCCTGCAAATGGCCACCATTGGCATTTTCCAGTGGCTTCCTTCCTCCTCCTCCCACTGCTGCTGCTCCTATTCTTGCACCACAGCTCCCACTCAATTTTAAGTCACGCCCACACCCCACAACTATGTCACTCAGCAGAACACGATTGAGGTGGTCGTAGCCAGCGCCGTGTGCTCTCGCCGCCTCCTCCTCCACCACCACACAAGGATCGCCCCCCGTGTTGTGCAGGAGGGCATCCAGCCGCACGCCCTGTTGCCCAGCACCGCCTTGGGGCCGCATGGCGCCAGCGTCGCGGACCCCGCTCGGCGTGGAACGCGAGGACGCGTCATTTCGAACGAGCACGCTATTATTCCTTCTCACGGGCGTCGCTAACGATCCGTCATCGGTGCCCATCTTACGAAGCCCCGTGGCGGTGCCGCCACCGCCAGGCTCACCGCGGTCGCCCCGGAGTTTAACCACGAGGTCGGGTTTAGCCTTGCGCCCACTTAAAACGGGCGACTTGGAGAACATGCCGGGCGCCGCCACAGAAACGTCGGAGCCATTGCTGGAGAGGGGGCTGCTTTCAGTCTCCGATTTCCCATCTGCCGGGCCACGGTGACCTTGACCCCCTCTGGGTGGAAAGGGGTTCCCCGGGCCCACGGTGGCGCTGAGCGACGCAGGCCGGCAGCACGTCGTTTCCGAGGGACGTGCGCGCGGGACGGACGTCGGTCTTTGCGACCCCTTGGCATTGCTCATACTTGGCTTGTGCACCCTGAGGGAGGGGGAAAAAAAACATGAGATCACACGCAAACATTTCAAAACGCCAGGTCAAGGTTTGCAAGTTAATGTCGCCAAAGTGTACGCGAATAATTGCGTTTGCGGAATGTTGGAAATGTGAACGAGTTAACGCTGTGACACAGGAAACAACCAAATGACAATTTTAGAAATACAAAATGGAGGAAAGGAGTAAACAGAGGATAAACTGATAAAAGTCATGAAAAGGCCAGGCCGTCCGTCCTGTGACAGCCAGGCCGTCCTGTGGTTTAAACATTTCAATAACAACCAGAAGGCTGAGATCCAAAATCCTGGTTGGTTATCAAGTAACTAAAATGAGTACTGCTCTTTTTGAAAGTTAACAAAGGTTGCGTGCAAATTCTATCCCATGTCTTGAGAATGTGAGATTTCCATCATTGGCTCTTATTCTGTAAACGCCTCAATGGCGTTAAAAATCGCTGGGGGGAGAGGGGGGGGTCATGTATTGTTATGTTCAGCTGATCCCTTCGATACTGCAATGCAAATTATAAAAATAGTAAATAACACAACATCACTCCGGAATATATACTCATTTGAAAAATGGGACTGGTGTAATATGTAAATGAAAGACAAGTCATCTTATGTCAGTTAAAAAGTTTAAGCAGTGGGCAACTTCAGACATTTTTATTTACAGGTGTCACAAATGACATCGACCATCTCATGAGGCTCTGTGGTGCTGCTGGTGAACGGTTTGCAGCTTGAAATGTTCAAGCCGGGCTTGACTGCAGTTCCTTTGGAGTTCAGCCACGATAAGTGGGGAAAAAAACCTATTAACAGCCAAGCCCTTTTCACTCCCTGACCTCGCATTTTTAAGGCTCTCCATGGGAGAAGCATTTCACCGATTATTAGCTATGGAATTTTATGCCATTACTAATTCATAAAGCCTGTCTTCGCCAGAGAAAATTGAGTAGACATTAGTGAACCCGATAGGATTATTTTTTTACAATTTATATCAGACACTAAGAACTATTCCAAAAATTCGTATTTTTCGGCAAAAAAGTTGACAACTTGATTTAAAGACATACCCATTGGAAACCGCTCAATTTAAATATTTGTTTGTTTATTTAAGAACAAAAATGAATATAATACTGAGGTAAAGTTATTATTCTTATGGTTTTTGAATTATTCAGATTTGAACATTATAAAATACATATTTTTTCGGTCAAACCCACTTGAATCCGAATATCAGTAAAAGATAGAATGGTTCTCACTTTAATTTGATTTGCTGTTTAAGGCTCTATCAAACTAAAAATACCGCAATCTTATATTTTGAACAGTTTACTGAATCACACACAAATATGTTTATGGGGCACTTAAAAAAAATCGAGATTTGGGGGCCTTAAAATTAAAATTTTAGGATTGTTTTTTCCTGTTGTGCCCTAAAAGCTACATATGTACCAAATTTCAGCTACCTTGTCGGGAAGTGGCCTAGAGGTTTTTGAGACGAATCAAGGTTTTTATTTATGTAAATAGATTGCGAAGCAAGGTGGGTTATTCGGAGCGGCAGTGCGTAATTTTCGCCAGAGCTGTCTGGGGACCCGAGCTCCTGCAAGTATTTCCCAACCCTACTGTGAGAAATTAAGCTCTGCTAATGGGTTTCTGCACAATCACACGTCCAAATATCAGATGCGCAATGTTGATGTGCCCCGGGGGGGGGGGGGGCACGTCACATAAGCTATAACCTCGCGACTCTGATTCTTTCCAGCAATATAAGACGAAATTGCCATCTCATGGAGCTCATCAAGTGGAGCAATACATGCGTGGGGACCACCCACCACTTATGGGTCTTTGAACTCCCGACTATTTTTATTTAAATGCTTTTCGACCCATGGAGCTTGTAGGCATCGACTTGGCGTGGCACTGCATTACTAGTTGGTCTGGTTTGTGCTCTTTGCCATGTAGCAAACAGGTTATAGAGGTGGCGAGAGGCGGGTCGATGCACGCTTCACAGCTAGGCAACCAAGCCACATACAGTACAAAAACATCAGTGCGTTGTCTTAAAGCATTATGGGTACACAGTGTACATCTTGTCCGTCTTTCCACAGAACAGGGGTTTTTTTTATTGTCTGTCAGGACATATGATTTTCAGACCAATATATCCATCAGTGTTTGGGGGGGGGGGATCTACATTAGGAAAGCCGATGGACTAAAATGTTTGTGTCAAGACAGGCATGGTTATTAGACACTATCAGGCAACTTGATGAAATGGCTCAAATATCTTGGAGACTGACCACATTGCTGACAATGGGACACATTCGCACATTTTCAAAAACGGAAAAAAAGATTAATTTGCCAACACGCAATTGGGATGTTTGTGTAAACTTTAGAAAAACACGTGATCTTTCTGAAAGTGTAACTCGTTAAATTGCAACCAGTGACAGAGTCTAAAAGCTCTCGGGACATGATCGCGAGGGTGGCACACAGAGTCCTGAACCCGGAGTTACATTTCTCGGCAACAGCTCACACGAGTGGAGGGCGAATTCCAAACTGGCCTTGGGCCGAGGGTACAAAAAGCAGCAGCCAACTACCTCAAATGTCATCTCTAGTGGTGTGTTATTAACGCAACTGACAGCCAACCAGGACTTGCAGCTTTAAACTAAACTTTTTATATCACCAGGTAAAGGCCCACCGAGCTATATAGTTTTTTTTCAGAAGCGACCTGGCCCCAAATAAAAGCTCATCACCTGTAAATGTATTTGCTGACACTCTAAACGCTGCTGTTTCTAAAGGAGGAAAAAAACCAGAGGACCCAGAGAAAAATGCACGCCGACCACGGAGAGACATGAAAACTCTAAATATACATTTCGATTTAAAGCTTTCGTGACTGCAGGGATTCATCTTCTTGTTTCTTTCGGTAAAGTCACGTAGAAGGGAAGTAATAAAATAATAAAAATAAAACATAATAAAACAATTCTCACGACGTTTCGGCTACAACGCAAGCAGCCGTCTTCAGGTGAAGAATGAGACACTACCAAACTAGGAGCTTATATATAAGCTGCATTGGGGGTTGAAGAGCGCCTTAACAAAAAGAATGTGCATGTGAAGAGGGATTTAGCATATTCATGGAAAATGCGTAGGCGTTGGGCGGGGGGGTGTCAAAGTCATATTATGCCCATGCATTATGCAGGATCAGCAGCAACCAAGGGGGGTGCAGGGATTAGCAGTAACAAAGGAAAGGAATGTTAATGATATGTAGCTGCAGTTACTCAACAACACGTAGAAAACTAAAGTATAAACTACATAAAAAACTAAAGTATAAACTGCATCGCACCATCAGTATACTTACTATACTCTATAATAAGCTGAGTTACTAACAGCAAGTAATACATTACAATTTTACCTCGTAAAAATTCTATAATATGCTTCCATCTAAACCTTATTCTCTTACATCACACGAGCATATACCGTACTATATACTGCCATAGATAAACCCAACATTAAATTATATACTGTATTGCTGTAAACCAACCTATATCTTATACATTTAATATCACACTATGTATTATTCTACACACCCTAATGTGTATCGAAATGGTTTATTACGTCCTTCCAATGATTGCTGAGCCAGAATCCATCTTCTCGGTTAAAGTTGTCTCTGTGTTTGTATATGTGGATCGCCTCATGAACGAATCTCTCATGATAGCCAGATGGCTTGCAGAGAACCTCTGTCTTGGAGAAGTCAATATCATGTGAGCCCACTGAGTTGTAACAGTGATCTGCCGTGGCAGATCACTGTTACAACTCAGTGGGCTCACATGATATTGACTTCTCCAAGACAGAGGTTCTCTGCAAGCCATCTGGCTATCATGAGAGATTCGTTCATGAGGCGATCCACATATACAAACACAGAGACAACTTTAACCGAGAAGATGGATTCTGGCTCAGCAATCATTGGAAGGACGTAATAAACCATTTCGATACACATTAGGGTGTGTAGAATAATACATAGTGTGATATTAAATGTATAAGATATAGGTTGGTTTACAGCAATACAGTATATAATTTAATGTTGGGTTTATCTATGGCAGTATATAGTACGGTATATGCTCGTGTGATGTAAGAGAATAAGGTTTAGATGGAAGCATATTATAGAATTTTTACGAGGTAAAATTGTAATGTATTACTTGCTGTTAGTAACTCAGCTTATTATAGAGTATAGTAAGTATACTGATGGTGCGATGCAGTTTATACTTTAGTTTTTTATGTAGTTTATACTTTAGTTTTCTACGTGTTGTTGAGTAACTGCAGCTACATATCATTAACATTCCTTTCCTTTGTTACTGCTAATCCCTGCACCCCCCTTGGTTGCTGCTGATCCTGCATAATGCATGGGCATAATATGACTTTGACACCCCCCCGCCCAACGCCTACGCATTTTCCATGAATATGCTAAATCCCTCTTCACATGCACATTCTTTTTGTTAAGGCGCTCTTCAACCCCCAATGCAGCTTATATATAAGCTCCTAGTTTGGTAGTGTCTCATTCTTCACCTGAAGACGGCTGCTTGCGTTGTAGCCGAAACGTCGTGAGAATTGTTTTATTATGTTTTATTTTTATTATTTTATTACTTCCCTTCTACGTGACTTTACCGAAAGAAACAAGAAGTCTAAATATACAGTTGTCAGAAAAGTTCCACCAATTAAAACAGATCCTGGGAAAATCAGGAAAGTTGAAAACCCAGTTGCGCAGCTACCTTCTCTAACGTGCACCGACCAGCGTGGCGAGGTATGGTCAAACATGCCCACGATTGGTTGACAAGGCGGCATGGGGAATCCTTCATCCACCCACGAATTGACAAAGGGCTGCCAATTAGATTTTTGTTATGCTATAATTGCACTGTATTAAGCCGTTTACAGATGTATGGTGCATACGAGTTAAGGGTGTGCCGTTTTAGGAGCACATATGGAGGAAACTATATATATAAAAGTCGAAAGTTGATCCAACAAGTTTACAACAATTATCGATCCCCCCACCAAAATGTTTCACTACCTCCCTTCCCCCCCAAAAAAGAATGTTACTTTGTAGGCATATATACCTACACAGCCTACTTTACAATAGAACCAATAGTATCTGCACACATGGGGGAGGGGGGGTAAGAGGACAATCGGTGGGGGCGAGAAGCCCTCCGTAGCGAGCAAGCGGCCACCGAAATTCTCGCGTCACGAGCAACCCTCAAGGTCCACGTGCCGCGCAGTTTCCCAAAAACAAGGCGATCCCATTCCTACCGCAACACTCCAAGTGCGTGTGGGTGTGTGTGTGGGGGAAAGCGGTAGTGTAGCAGTTAGCGCTGCGCTACGAACCTGGCGACCCGGGTTCGATTCCCGCTCACGACCAACACCACCAATGAAGATTATCTGAACCGGTCCTGGGCCTCCCCTAGGTCGACTCGGCCTCAAAATGTGTACCTGGTGCGGTGTGTAAAACATCGCCACTCGGGAGACAAAGGCGGTCGGGCGTGGTGTTGGCCACCCCAGCCCCTCGTGTGCCGTGCCGGCCTTTAAAGATTGTCTTTTTGTGTCAATCCACCGCGTTGAGTTTGTCGTGATCACAACTCCGCCGAGCTGGGTAAGTGCAGCACAGGCGTGGGGTGGGATCCGTGTACAATGACGACGACCAATTTCGCTTCACTGCCCTCCTGCCCGCTGCCCCATCGCGGCATCCCCGCCAGCCTATAACACCTGTTTGCCTTGCGGTCGCTCGTCACAACAACGTCCACGCATTCCATGGCCGAGGTGGTTCTGTCGAGGCGTGCGCGAACGCAATCCGCCCATGAGCGCCGTGAACTCCGCAGACCGCGTCAACAATTCGCGATCGGCCCGTGCCCAGAACCGCACGGGCCGGTTTACACCGCCTCCCGCACGCGAATGCCGCCAGAAGCCACTTGTTTTGTACGAGCATTAAGACAAAGCCATGGCAACGCCATTTACTTGTTTACATTAATCGTTGAAAAATAATAATAATCCATCCTTTGAAAAAACCAACACGCGCTTAAATTTTAGCGACAGGGGACCACAGACTGCCACGCTACTGCAGCAGCATGGTCACGATCAGCGCGGGGGGGTTGAAGAAACTCGACTGCGCTTCAACGGGGAAACACGAGCAGAAGGGGATCGTGCAACGGTCAACTTAAAATATTTTAGGTGGACAAGCATAAAGATTTTGAAATTAAGCAAGAGCGCAATTTAGAACGCTTTAAGAAAACACAATTTAATTAATTAAAACGAAATATACCAAACAATGTCACTGAAAAAACAACTTGCAACGGCGGCCGCACATTACCCACCAACACACGGGGACCTCCACGTGGAGAGCTGCGCTTTAAATCGCGCCTCCGATTAGCACCGTTGGCAAAGTGCGCTGCAAACGCAGCGCGACACACATACACGTGGACCAGGAAACTATCACCGATTGGAGTAATCCTATTGGCTGTTAAGGAAAGCAAGTGGCCTCGGTGTCAGGGCACATCGCAAGAAGGGATCTTTATCCGTGGACAAGACTGGTGATGGAATGGCAGTCAAAAGAAGAGACGTACACCCAAGAGGAAGGCAACTGCAGAGTTGGGAGGATGGAGCTGAGAATGTGCAGGATTGTGGCATCGCAAAGACCGTGAGAGATGGAGACCGCCGTGGAGAGACCTTCATCCAGCAGTGGATAGACGTATGCCTGGCATGCGACTAACTTTACAAGTCCAACACACCAGTGTGCTGAAGTAGTAATTGAGTACCAAGTTTTGCTTACGTGACAACCCTTACAGATTGGCTGTCGGGTGGTAGTGGGTTATATTTAGACTTAACTTTCGCAACGGCAGGAATTCATATTCTTGGTTCTTTCGGTAAAGTCGCGTAGATAGAAAAAACATGAAAATAAAATGAAAATATTAAGATAAAATAAAAATAATTGAAAATAATTAAAGCATCAAACCCACGACGTTTCGATCACAACACAAGCGGTCTCCGCCTGATGAAGACTGCTTGTGTTGTGATCGAAACGTCGTGGGTTTGATGCTTTTATTATTTTCAATAATTTAAAATGTATTTAATTATTTTCATTTTATTCAAATTTTTTCGTTTTCTATTTCCGTCACTTTACCAAAAGAACCAAGAATATGAACACATTTATATTGACGCGATCCAACCCAAAAAAACTTTCTTAGGAGTATTATGAAGTGATTTAGGTTCTACACCCCATATATGCAAGATCAGTCTTAACCACGCCTTTACAATGTCGAGGGATTACAAGCATCCGGACAATTACTGGACGGTAATTGATAATCACAATTAAATCAATACTGTACTTGTTTTAACTTAGGTACGAAACCAAGTACAAGGTTCATTGAAGAACTAAACACAAACGTTAGGCGACAAATTCGGTTTAGGTACCAAATTTAATAACCAAAATATAAAGGTGGTCCAGTAACGAGTAAAATAGTAACTTTAAACACGTTAAATATGATCTGCTAAAAAGGCATGCGATGACTGGTAACTTTATAAGTGAAATGTACATGTAGTAAACACACTTTTAGGTGCGCAGTTAATGTTATACTAGAAAATGTTTGCAGATTGTCTTAGCGGATGATAATGTAACTAAAAATCACACCTCCTACCTGCTCGTAGCCGGGATATCGTAGCTTCGAAGTTGCCGTTTCAAATTGAATCTCTTTCCACGACTGTAGATGACTCCGAGTTATCAGCAGTCGTAGCTCAACAGCTATTGCCACTGGACTGACCAACTAAGCACGCACGCACGCACGCCCATCAAATGTCTACATACAAACGCACAGCGTATAATATATAACCGACCGGGGTTTCTCTGCTCGTCCTGCTTTTTAGAACTTAAAGTTGCTACCCAAGCAGCGACGAGGCAAAAAGAAGCGCGCTGTCCAGAGCGAGCCCGACGACTGTTCCACGTGAATGCGTCAACTTCATCCTGGAAGCTCCCCCCGCGTTGCACCAACACCACGCCCCTCCCCGTCGCGGAGCCAAGCCCACCCTTCACAATAAAAGTCGATCCTATTGTTGTTGAGTGGGCATAACAATGCGCAATAATCATTCACTCCGGGTGGAACAATGAGCCGGGGTGGTGGGTGTCACGTGCGGTGTGTGAATGGGGCTGATAAGTGGCGACTCGTAATTAATTGCTCCAATCTGCGGCGAAGTCATTCCGTGCAAATTCATGATGAAAAACTTGTCCGTTAACCCACCTCCACCCGACGCAGCCAATTAGATAGTACGGATTTCTCGCGCGGTTTAACGACGCGTTCATATTTTACGCGATCGAATAATGTTGGTCGCGCAAAGGCTCCTTGTTAAAGTGACAGCGCAAATTGGCGAGTGTGCTCTTGGGCTTGCACCTGATTGCACATTCCGCAATCGCCTTACCGCAGTAATTTAATTGTCGCATTAAACTGCTCCTGTATTTTGTTAATATTTTTTTTATTACGGGTTTTAATTAAAGTTACTTCCATATGTACCGAGCTGCTCCTGACGCAATTCCCTGCCTCAAGCACCTCAATGTTTAATTATAATTACTGTTCTACATCGCCTTTGGCGTCCTCTGGTCTAACACCGTTTGAGACGAGGCTCTAAAGAAAGCTATCTCTGGTGTGGACCAATCAGTTCCAAGGACAATGCATATATTATCAGAGTATGTTTTTTGTTTGCATTTTGACCACAAGCGTTGTGATTAATGCAGACATGATTCCTTGTAAAAGGTTTCAGTTTGGTGTTTTAACATCTAAACACCTGTTTTGTTGCCATAAAACAGAGGGAAAACCTATTATCAAAGAAGAACAATTAAGTATATTGGATATGCTATTCATATTCAGTTACTATTCAATCTTGTTTTTATTTACGCGTGCTAATTTTTGCTTACAAAGAGCCACCCACCGAGTAGACGGAGTCTGTGCAGGTGGCGAGGTGGTGTATCTATCACTGCACGCGCTGGACAAGAGATGGAGTGATGTGGTACAGGAGGACGTGGGGCTGAGTGGATTTGCCGATGACTGGTACCAGCGGTGTCAAGATCGTCCTCTGTGGAGGAGGTTCGTGAAGGACGCTACTGGGGAGTTGGAGGCAGTCGCCCTTCAGCATCAACAATGGAGGGCAGAGGAGCGACGCTCACAACAACGAGCGGAGCGCCGGGCGGTTAAAACAAAGAGAGCTTGCACGGTGGAGAGCACAGTTTATGCATATGCCAGTCATGCCATTAATCTCAGTCAGTCAACCCACGGCACCTGGGTCTGTTCCATGACATGTAGCCACAAAGTGCACCTAGCCTGGCACAAGTGCCGTGGTGACGTCACCGCCACTTAGTGGTGAACGTCGGTTGTGTGTTTTTGCAGTATCACAACGGAGAATCGCGAGAGATGACGCTGCGGTTCGAGGGAGGCGTTCACCCAGCAGACGATGATTGACCGCGGATGATGGTGATGAATTGTCGCTCGCAAGCCGACACATTGTTTACCCCAGGGCATTGCAGACGATCTGCAGTGCATGCAGGCAATCGGCCCGGAGAGCGTCGTGCCCTGCTCAAGCCCAATACTTCTCTTAATTGTCAATTGGCTTTAAGTAAATGAAAAAAAATCGGAGAAGTTTCTTAATTCAAGACGTTTTTTAATACGATACTTTATGTTGTGTCCTACTAAATATGATCTATAATATAATTAGTCGCCTGCCTCAACGCTCTGAAATTGCTGCTAATGCTGTGGTTACAATTTCCGTGAATTCTGCGAGATTGTTTCGTCTAATCCATACCGTGATTAGCCACCGTACTGCAGGTTAAAACTCCTGAATATACAAACACGTTCCTTCGGAGTGGGCAGTTAGGAACTTGGTTGGACAGCGCATTCGTGCACGACAGACAAATATGCACGACAGACAGACAAATAATCCCTGGTGAGCAGTGTGGAACCTATTGTTCCTACCTGTATAATGTAAAAAATGTATGTCAATTCATAAAATATCATCATATATATTAAATAAAATATAAATTACAATTCCTTAAAGGAGAAACAAATACGAATGAATAACAATTGAATGATTACCAATCTATTATATAATTACAATACCCTCCCCACCTTAAATCACTGCACCAGATTAGGTTAAATTATGACGTCACCCTGCTGCTGCTCTATTTAAGACCGGGAGCAAGTGGAGGGCTTCACCATTCTGGCAAATTGAAAATACAGTACTATACAGATGTCTTGTGATCCTCCGTTAATAATCTATAAACTCAATAATAGTTGCTTCAAGTAAGGTTAATTTAAAACAGAAATGAATATGCAAAGGCAAAATTATATAATGGGGTTCAATTGATTGGAGGTCACAAGACATCTGGACCATCCTGGACAATCTATGCCTCTAGTTTCCTGGCTTGCTGCTGGCTGGGCTTTCCACCCCAACAATAACTCTGTTAGGAGCCGTTGCCAGCTAAAACTAGCTGGGTGACTGGCGATACCGGATATTCCTGATAACGCATACAAATTGAATTGAAGAATACGTTCGGAAGACAACGCTGATTATAATCATGGGAAGCGATGCCGAAAAGGTGGGAGTAACGAATGCAGGAGACTGACCACGATTCATTAAAATCGCTCAAACTTTTCAATTTGTGCGCCGATTAATGTGTATATTTCGTCTTGGAATTTTTTTTGCAGAAAAAACATTATTTGTAGTGCAGGATGACGAAAAGAGTGGGAATTAAAGTTTTCTTATTTTTCGCTGCAACGTGTTTTTCCGACTCGTTTTAATACGTTTTATTTTACAGCACACGTTGTAGCGATTGGGAAAACGGTAATCATCGTCCCTTACAGCCATAAACTTAGGAGCTTCCTGAATTTTTTTTTACTTCGGCTTGCCCAGGGAAACAAATGGTTCCACAGTAGTGGTAGTAGTCCTACTAATACATTACATAAGGGCTGCATTGATTTGCATAGCTGTCAACCCATACTGTTTACCCATTTTCTTGAACAGGGAAATTGAGTTTTCAGGTCCATACGGCATACAGCCGTTTCAATACGGGCAAAAAATGTTGTCTATTTGTTTGTGTTTCTCCCTTGTTGCTTCGTGACTATCATTGTTTGATTGCATTGGTATTCCTAGTTTAATTAAGAACAAAATATGTATTAAATAGAAAACTCCCAATTTTGAACATTGTAAATAGCCATTAAATTATATATTTAGATTATTTTGCGCCTATAAACTTTCAATATTAGAAGCCACTTACAACGAGCTATCATTTGTGGCCAGGTCGCGTCTGAAAAATAAGCTAATATTTCAGTGGGCTTTACATGGTAAGATATAAAAAAAAGTTTGGTTTCATCTGGATATTTTTTTAAGTAGGTATAAAATAAATTAAATCACGACGTTTCGATTGCAACACAAGCAATCATCATCAGGTGGGAAAACCACAGAAATATTTATTTCCATTATACTTTGCACTCCCGTCGTGTTTTTGTATTTGTTTGTTGTTTGTTGTTTTAACGTTCTGATCCGCCCCCTTATGGGACAATTGTACAAAAAGAGCTTTAGCGCATCGGATTCCTCCAGGATACACGGACTCTATACTTACGAACACTCGACTTGCGAATTATTAATAATTTGTCTACATTGGCTTTCAAATGAGTTAGATCGTCCGGCGGTGGACTATCTGTTTGCTTAAACACGTTAATATTATTAATCCTTGATCGTGTCTGCATGGATTAAATATCAGTCGTTCTATACGATTGGGGGGGGGGGGGGTAAAAAGTACGCGTGCGTGCAGGGAGGGAAAAGGGGTCAAGTTTTGACAGATGTTTGCGTACCGACTAAATGGATGGCCCCTTATGTCGAGTTGCCTGTTCGAACCGAGAGTCACGCAATGGATGGCGGTGGTAGCATCTCCATCTGCAGAACGTGAACAACCAGTTGCGTTTACAGGAGATTAAACAACTGTGAAAGTCAGCAATTCCCCGTGTTTCGTGTACATGCCGTGCAACGTGTTTGGAATCGACAGGGAGTAAAGCTGGACTTACGCACAAATCGACTTTAGGGGCCGTCCATAAATGACGTCACGCGATTTTGTACGATTGTTGACCCCCCCCCCCCCTCGTCACACGGCGTCATAAAAAGTCAGACCCCCCCTTAAAATATGATGTCACAAAGCTCTGCCACCTCTCCCAAAAACAAATAAAGCATGCTTCAAATCGCTTTAAACTATTGTCATTAATGTGCCACTGCACTCTGATGTTGTAGGAGAAAACATTTATCAAAAAGTCTATTTAATTAAGTAGAACGTGTTGTCTATATTTATTTAAAGTTGCGCATTTTGATGTGACGTCACATTTCTCAACCCCCCCCCTCGTCACACATCGTCACAAATGTCTGACACCCCCCCCCCCTAGATGCGTGACGTCATTTATGGACGGCCCCTTACGAACAGACTTCTGGAATTCTAGATTTGAAGCTTTCGTGACTGCAAGGATTCATACTCTTGGGGTTTTTTTCCGGTAAAGTCACGTAGGTAAAAAAGAAATAATAATAAATAAATAATAATGATTGTAGAAATAATAATAGAAATAAAATAATAAATCACGACGTTTCGGAGGCAACACAAGTCTCCGTCATCAGGTGGGACCGTCACAGCTGAATTTACTGTATTAAGTGAGGAAAAAATCCAAGAGGCAAGCACTTAAAAACAAGTTAAGGGGTGGAGGGGAGGGAGAGGGGCTTGTCTGAATGTGGTAGCCAGGGGTATGGCTTGATGGTCCTCGGGGGCGGGGCTAGAAGAGAACAATGGTGCCCATCGGCTCATGGTTGTGGCCGGTGTTAGCTGATAATAAGCATAAAAGTAAGCAACAATGGTAAACGCTGGAGATGTCAACACTCGGTAAAGTAGAATAGTACCTGTCAGATAAGATGGTACAAATCTGTGTAGTTAAATCTTTTTTACATGGTTAATGACATCTTTCCAATGATTACTCAGTTTGGACCCATCATCACGGTTGAAGTTATGTCTGTGTTTGTATATCTGGATCGCTTCGTGCACAAACCTCTGATGGTAGCCAGAAGATTTGCAGCGCACCTTGGTCTCGGAAAAGACAATCTCATGAGAACCCACAGCGTTGTAGCAATGATCGGCAACGGCGGAAGACTCAATTTTGCCGTGTTTCAGATCTGACTTGTGCTCGCGGACACGATCAGAGATATGACGCTTCGTTTCCCCAATGTAACAATCACCACAGCTGCAACTCAGTTTATAGACTCCAGGGTATTGCAAGTCAGGAATGACATCCTTCACAGATGGAATTAGATCACGGATTTTATGTACTGTACTGAATAGGACTTGGATCTTATGTTTGTTTAGAATTTTGGAGATCTTTTTGGTCACGCCTGCTATGTGTGGCAACGTGATAGTTTTGATCGGAGTTTCAAGTGGCTGTTTCTGTATGGTGGGAGAAACAGCTTGGCGGATGGTGCGGTCAGAGTATCCGTTTATCCTGAGGGCCCGATGTACATGTCTTAATTCACTGGCCAGGTGGTGTTGGTCAGAAATGCCATGAGCTCTGTGGTATAGTGTTTTGATGAGAGAATTCTTTTGAGACGGGTGGTGGTGGGAATCAGGTTTCAAGTAGGAATCTGTGTGGGTGGCTTTCCTATAGAATATCCCAAGGATCCATCAGGTCTCCTCTCAAACAGAATATCTAAAAATAGTAGTTTGCCATCTTTCTCCACTTCCATGGTGAATCTGATGGATGGGTGTCTGGAATTGATGTGGTCCAGGAAGTGGTTCAATGCTGGGAGGCCATGTGGCCAAATGACGAAAGTGTCATCCACATACCTCTTCCACAGGGAAAGACGCAGGGTGGACGTCTGGATGGCGTCTGATTCAAACTTTTCCATAAACACATTGGCTATCACTGGTGACAAGGGGGAGCCCATAGGGGCACTTTCATTCTGTTTGTAGAAGGTGCCATTCCAGGTAAAATAAGTGTTGGTGATGCAATGCCTAACCAGCGCAGGTACATCCGAATTCAATCCATGTTGGACCAAGTCTTCAATTATTGTTAGGGTGTCAGGTACTGGGACTTTGGTAAACAGAGATACCACATCAAAACTGACGAGGATATCGTAAGGAGATAGGAAAGCCACCCACACAGATTCCTACTTGAAACCTGATTCCCACCACCACCCATCTCAAAAGAATTCTGTCATCAAAACACTATACCACAGAGCTCATGGCAATTCACTGGCCAGTGAATTAAGACATGTATATCGGGCCCTCAGGATGAACGGATACTCTGACCATACCCCTGGCTACCCCATTCAGACAAGCCCCTCCCCCCCTCCATTAACTTGTATTTAAGGGCTTGCCTCTTGGATCTTTTCCTCACTTAATACAGTAAATTCAGCTGTGACAGTCCCACCTGATGACGGAGACTTGTGTTGCCCCCGAAACGTCGTGATTTATTATTTTATTTCTATTATTATTTCTATTATTTCTATTATTTATTTTTACCTACGTGACTTTACCGAAAAAAAGAACTAAGAGCATACAACTCTGGAACCAAACTCGTTCGTAAGTAGAGGACTCCCTACAACAATGAGATGCCTGGAGGGTAAAACCTCCTGCTCTGGCAAGGCGACCCAGCCCGCCAGCCCCGCCCCCGAGGCATAACCCCGCTCCCACAATCCTTTGCGCTTCTCTTCGACATCAGCGGCGGCGAAGGTGAGATGCCGGCCTAGCGTCGCGCCGTCGCAATCCGTCGTCATCGGCTCGCCCCGCGCACAAAATTCCCTCGCAGTTCCATCCCCGTTACGTCTCGAAACGTTGTCCATCGTGGCAGACGTGTATTGACGGCTGGACGATTGTCGCGTCGGATCTGGATGCCGTGCGATGTGATGGAGGCGCCGTGTATGCGCGCGCGCGGGTCTGTGTTGTAGTTGGGGTTCCGGGCCGGCTGCGAGGGTGAAATGGTTCTGACTTGATTATAACTCGTGTAATGGTGAACCTCTTGTGAGCAATGCGCGTGTGCTGTACCCCTGCGTAATCGTAACATGTTGCTACGTTAATAGGTTAGACATGAAATGTGTATGCGGCCGGTAATGTTGACTTATGAGAGTGGTGCATATTGAGGCCTATCGAAGGCTTCTCGTGAGTGCAGTTCCAGTGAGCTCAAAATGGTTATAAGAGCAACCTAAATATTGTACCAATGGAAGTGAGTAACAACAATCTGTAGGGTTATCGCATACGGTGCCACGTTTCTCGATTTGTATTTATTTGAAGTGGGGCTTGTGCGTTAAGAGGCTATATACATTTGTGATTTGCGGCGTGGGCAATTATATTGAACTCTTTTAACAGTTATCTTGAGCTAATGAGTGGCCCTCACGAGAATCGATGTCATCGGTACGAACTGTTATGATTGTGAAAGATAGACTGCAAACCCAACAGCAAAGCTGTGCGTTAAAAAAAAAGCGAATGAACCCCAAATGTTCCAAGACTTGTTGCCAGTTTCGTAAATTCTGCTCCGAATCGATCCAGCCCATCCATTCACCAACCCGCACTGATAACTGGTGAATGGTTTCACCACACTGATGGAGGCCTGAAGCAACGAGTGGATTCAGAATGGCTATAATTTTTCCCCAATGATGGGTCTTAACACATCCAGATACTATGAGATCTCGACTACATCCAAATATTTACGTGTCCCTGTGTAAAAGACGCATGGGGAAGCGTTCACCGTTTGGTGGTGCATATTTACATATGCATTGTCCTGTGCGTAAAGATTATACGAAGTGATTGTAATATCACTGGAGTCATGGAATGTACCAGTGATGGACAATTCTATACGGGACCAGCACTTTAAGTGTACACACTTTGAACGTGGAACCAAAGACGATGAAGAGTGATAAAAAAAATTAGGTCACTGAAAACTTGGTTTGTGACTGCACGTGAACAGAGTATGTTGAACTTATTTCGCACCGTACGTAGTCAACCGTGCAAATCGGAGGTAGGCAGGCCTTAATCTGTTTGAGTGAGATTGACGCCTCGTAATGTAATGATTCATGGTGGATGTGTGTGTTACAGATGGCGCCAGCCAAGAAGGGTGGCGAGAAAAAGACTCGTTCCACCATGAACGAGGTGGTGACCCGCGAGTACACCATCAACGTCCACAAGCGCATCCATGGCATGTGAGTCTCACTGGAGGTGTGCACACACGGGGCATGGTTGGGAGAGTTGTACCCTGTGGCTCATAGCAACGCCTGAGCAATCCCATGTCACATAACCCAGTTGTAAATGTGAATAGACTATCCTCTCTGTGGAATTTGCTTAACTGGTCCAGGGCTGTCAACATTGGAAGTCCCAGTTGAAGACCCCCACCTAATTAAAAAATGCATCTCTCTTTTTAGTTTGCTGTTGTCTCTAGGATTTCTCTCCTCAGTTTTTTCACACTTATTTTACTCCTTTACATGGATGTCATTCTTAATATCCAGTAAGGGTGCATTAGACTTATACACGATAAAAAAGCGAGTGACATCCATGCTCTTTAGAGCTCTTTTGAGCATTGGGTGGCACTTGCCCGATAGTGTATTACTGGGGTAAATTGACATTGATAAAACCCTCATGTACATGAATACTGAAGCAGATTAAATGAAAATAACAGTAAATGTAGGGTGATGCAAATGTATATTTTGGCTGTATGACCAATGCCACAATCCAGAATGCTCCTGAGTTTTAGGACTGACTTCAATGAAGTAATTATAGATTAGAGACAATTATGTACTTTCTCGTGTATGAATGCTAACTGAATATTCCATTCTACGCGATGTGCCAGGTTGATGGTTGTTGGACAGCAGGCGTCATAATATGTTAAAAGCTGGAGATTTAACAACTGCTGGCTTAATATAAATAGTTTAAAGAGTTTCTTGACTGGGGTCACATGAGAGTGGATGGTGATGAATGTGAAGTGAGTATGGCATATTCTTGGATCTTTTGGTAAAGTCACGTAGAAGGGAAATAATAAAAATAAAAAAATAATAATCCTGTTATATTTAAATTATTTTAATTTTATTATTTCCCTTCTACGTGACTACCGAAAGATCCAAGAATATGAATCCCTGCAGTCACGAAAGCTTTAAATTGTGAGTATGGCATGCTGTGGACCCACAGTGGCTTCAAGAAGCGTGCTCCCCGCGCCATCAAGGAGATCCGCAAGTTTGCCGAGAAGGAGATGGGCACTCCCGACGTGCGCATCGATACTCGTCTCAACAAGGCGGTGTGGAGCAAGGGTGTGCGGTGAGGCTGCTGCTGCTGCTGCATCCACTCCCACGCACTCCCAACTTCCCTCCAACCACGCCTGTGCTAGACACAAAAATATCAGTCTGATGGTTTCCCACTTAGCCTGACGTGGAAACCCCTTTGCAGTCTGCTGAAAGTGGATATTGTTTACTGGGTTAGTCGGTCATTCTTGTGAAATTGAAACATGATAATGGGCCTTTGTGCACTGTTCGTTTGCACAGTTTTGATCCATGTTTTTGGGTTGGGCCACAATAATTGAATGCAATTTTTTTGGGAATTTCCTCTCCACCACCTGATACAAATGTCACGTTTATAAACATTACTTATTCGAGCCAATGTATTGATCAAATTGATGGATACATTTCACCAGTGGCTTGGGACTTTTCACGTCTGAATTCAACATCAGTATGTTTTGCACACTGATTTGAGCTTCATCAGATAGTAAGCTTGGAAATAAAGTGCAGCTTAAACAAACTCTGCCGATGTATCTGCCGTGACATTAACTGCCAAAGTTTGGGTAATTTACATTTTAGTTATTTTTATTTGGTTGTTTTAATGTTATTTCAGGTATTTGTGAAGTTTATTTTAATCAAAGGACTTGGAGGTTATGATTGGTGTGCTTTATGCTATTGCTTTGTGTGGGTAGTTGGTTTGTCATTTAGTTGTTAGGTTACATATTCTCTTTGTTTGGGTGTTGGTGATTGAGTGCGGATTGTAATATAGTTGAAATATTTACTTATTGATGTGGTACTAAGCAGAACTTGGTTTATAACTTTTCTCTATTGAAATTTTATTTCTCTGTTAAGCAAGTTGAGCTCAATTTCCACCATTGAACTGCAGAGCATTAAATGTAGATAAATCTTTACAAAAATAAATTAACTGCAAGCTGCAGATGGAATGTCTCGTGACACGATGCCCTTCCGGATTATGTTTGGGGAAACGTTTAAAACAATCTCTATGGGCTGTTACCCTGCAGGAACGTGCCGTACCGGATCCGTGTGCGGCTCTCCAGGAAGAGGAATGAGGATGAAGATTCCCCCAACAAGCTGTACACCCTTGTCACCTTCGTGCCCACCACCTCCTTCAAAGGTAGAGTTGTGCACTTGCCTCCTTTGCCAGCCACTAAGCAACCACCAGTGATACTTGTGAAATGTATGTTGTTGAAAATCAGTAATGGACACTCATGGAAATAAGTGTTGATAGCATGGTATAAATCTTGCAGTTTGTCCTTCCCTCACCTCCGATTATCTTGGTTGGCTACCTACGGTGTGAGAAGTTCAACATATATTGGTCCATTTCCTTATTTTTCGAAATTGTTCATTCACTAAATCTCTCCATTTCTATGGCAACGTCGTAGCTAGCCAGGCATACAAGCACAAATGGGATTTTGAAAAAAGTGGTGCATATGCATTGAAACAAGGGACATGATACTCGGTGTATTTGGGGCTTTAGTTATAGGAACATGTCAAGATATACTTGGCCTAAACCTGTAGTTTTCAATCGCAAGTACAGATTATGATGGTATGATAAACTATAACTTATAAAGGATCACCTGCTTTGTATAAAGTCAGCAGTTCGCTGTAACTTTTACAAGCTCAATGTGGGTGGTCTGGAATGCTATCGCCAATAAACTGCAACTTGGATCATTACCTGTGAGATGTGCACTCAAAACTGCCACTGCTATGCAGTGGCCTGAAATCAAATGCATCTCTCCAGATGTCCGCTGCAAAGTATGATCTTCAGTTTTGATTATAGTTTGCTGATCTTTCAAGGTGCATTGAAAAATTTTGATACTCCTGCTGTTATGGAGTAACTCATGCAGCAAGCTATGGCTGCAAAGATGGATCGCACATGTTATGTATATCGTTTATTGTAAAATTTGAATCAGTTCCTATGATCACTGTTACATTGTTTTATAGCTTTATTTTGGTGATTTCGAAAACGTATGGTTAAGCCATGTTTGTTGAATCTAAATTGTCTTATGGTTGTTTGACTTGCATCCCACTGGGATTTTTTCACATAGCGTTGATATGCAGTTTTTTTCTGGAAAATTTAACTGGTTTTTCCTGGATGTTTCTGTTGCGCGTCGTCACTTTAAGATGTTCTTTGTTCAAGTTTTGTTGCTGTAGCACCCGAGTCAAGAGCCGCATGGCTCACAGGCCTACACCTAATGAATGAAACAGAATTATTTTTAGCTCAAGTAGTAGAAAAGTTCTGCTATGCGTGCCTAACTTTTTTTTCTCTCTTTACAGGTCTCCAGACCGTCAATGTGGATGAAAGTTAAATATTTTCAAACCATACATGAATAAACTGTCATTCCCCATCACATGACTGTGCGTTTCATTGTTAAAAGGAAAAATTATGGTTTCCATCAGCCTATTTCAGACAGTGCAGAATGGCTAGCATACCATCAAGTTGAAATTGTGTTGTGCACATTTACACCTATATACAATCAGATGAAAATGCTACTATATAGGACTGTATTTCGATTTAAAGCTTTCGTGACTGCAGGGATTCATCTTCTTGGTTCTTTCGGTAAAGTCACGTAGAAGGGAAGTAATAAAACAATAAAAATAAAACATAATAAAACAATTCTCACGAAGTTTCGGCCACAACGCAAGGACGGCTGCTTGCGTTGTGGCCGAAACGTCGTGAGAATTGTTTTATGTTTTATTATTTTATTACTTCCCTTCTACGTGACTTTACCGAAAGAACCAAGAAGATATATAGGACTGCACAGGTTTGCGTGGCTTTTAAATGTGGCTAAATGACAACACTGATTATGCCATAAAAGAACCAGGCTTTGCGTAAATACAAAGTCATTTTAATAACATCAAGGCAAGGGACTGGATAAAGCTCTGACAGGATTGCACATTAAAAATAAATCTAAAGCAGTTTTTTTTTACTTATTGAACAAAGTACAAGCTATACAAAATGGAAAATAGCTGTGCACACTGGAAATTCACAAAACTTTAAATGCAGTCTTAACCCTACCTACCTAAGTCAAACCAATTTAAAAACCTATTTACAATCCCTTCAGTAATGGAACAAAGGTCGCTGAATAGTGTATATTGTTCATTAGCCCAACTTTCAATACGATTAACACTTGGTCAAGATGTACTTTACCCTAAGCACACATTTGGATGCTTTACATTAAGGTATGGCTTGAAATGTTCAGAAACTGGAAGAAATCTACACTGTTATTGAATACATTTAAACAGCATGTAAAGGGAAAATTTGAAATTTCCAACTGAAAGTTAATGCAATAAGATGACCTACAGAAATGCTCTTACTGCTGTGCTTTCAGTCTATTGGATTTCTTTTACAAGTCTCGATACAGTTTAAGTGATCACCTTTACAAATGTTTCTGTAATAACCACTGCTGAGTTTTTATGGATTCCACAATGAGCCACAAGTGAAATTGGGGTTGAGGTGAACACATGTGGTTAAAATGGGTATAAATGGCAACCGATGACGTTGCCACCTTTTAACAAAACTTGGCATGGGCCTATCGAAACCACAGTATACTGAAGTAAAGTTGAATACAATGGTACCAGACCTTAGTACAAATCGATTCCTGCCACGTGCAATTGAAATGCAAATTCCCCAAATCTCCAGGTCTTAACCCCAGGACAGGTGTCAACCCTAAACCAAAGGATAGGCATATTGAACAGGACGATAGCATGGACTACAGCAATGCATTTAAAGCCACTACAGTAGAGGAACACTGCAAAATATTTAAAATTTATAGCAATTTAAATTGAATTTCAAAACTGAAAGAATGATAACAGTATTGACCGCAACATCAAAAACAAGTTGAATCTGGCAGCATAATGGTTTGCTATCTGTATACCTCACCAGCAAGTATACTAAAATGTTGCCGTTTGCAATAACCAACACTTGACATGAAACTAACTCGAGGTCGGCTGTGCAAGCACATGCAGCTTGCCAAGTTCTAGTGGTGGCCTCTGCAACACAGTCGAGCCATATGTGCAGAGGTGCCATTTGCCGTGTGAACTACATCACCGAGAAATGCAAACAGGCAAGGGCCCCTGAATTAAACTTGCGTATCATCTTCTTGGTTCTTTCGGTAAAGTCACGTAGAATGGAAATAAAAATAAAACAATAATTCTCACGACGTTTCGGCCACAACGCAAGCAGCCGTCCTCAGGTGAAGAACAGGTCTGTCAGAAAGACAGCGTCCATTCTACGTGACTTTACCGAAAGAACCAAGATGAATCCCTGCAGTCACGAAAGCTTTAAATCGAAATTTAAACTTACGTAATGAAGACCATCTCAATCTTTAAAAAATATTTTTCAGGCTAGGTTTTGGCAAGCAATTGTGCATGAACAGAAAACCAAAAGTTACTTCCATCTTGCTAAGTGCATCGCAATGTAAAGATGAAGAGTTGTGCCGACTAGTAATCTCCAAGTTCAGGGACCGATAAAGGTTCATCGCGGGCCTTGCTCAGCCCATCAGCTCCCGAGATACGGAATGTACAATTACCGATGCCACCATGCACGGTTACAACTGCAATAAATTACTCCAGGGATTGTAGTATACAGTACATTGTTGTACTGCTTCCAGGTTTATCCAGAAACAAACACCATATGGCGTCTCCAAAAGATTTCAGGAGGGCCCTGCATTTGCATGTTTGGCTAACTCCATTGTAGCAAGTGTCTGAAGTGGAACCAGTAGCTGGAGAAACTCCAAGCATAAGGGAGAGGTATTAACAGGTTCATGCATCGAGTTGCTGTACCATCTTGCAACCCAGTTGAATGTAAAGTTTCACAAATATATGGTCCACCAACCCTCGTCTCCACCAAAGGACCCACTTATAGTATGCCCATATGAATGATTGTTGCTGATGGGAGCGAAGGGATCTGATTAAGTTGTCCATGCCTTATGCGTACTAGAATTCTGAATTAACTTAAACATGAAAGACCCACTTAAGTTTTGATGCGTATTCTAAACTTAAACCTACATTTCCCTCGTCCCTTGATGGTGTCGAAGAGGTTATGTATATGATATAAAAAGTATCCAAGCACAGTATATTTCCTCAGTGAAAACACTTTCCTTAAGACAAGTGTACCAGTAAAGGCTACCAAGATAGGCCGAGCTTAAACAAAACCCATCGGCCTCAATAAAACCTAACTGCAGGCTCAAACATAAATAATAACTAATCGCACCAAACTTCAATAAAAATCTACCAACAGACTAGTTTTCGACATTACCACCTAAAAGTTTCACCACTACAGCAATAAACACAAAACTAGACTCGAGAAACGAGTTAAACATTTTAACAAAGTTAAGACAATTCCTGGTTGGAAAAGCTGAAAAACCTTTTTCCAGTGTCAGACCCGCACGTCGAGTTTCTAACGAGTGCACAAATTCGACTTCAAAAAGAGCAGTCCTGGCACGTACTTGAGATACTAGTTATAAGTGCGTGTTTATGCATAGCATGAAACAACGGGCTCGTGCCCTAACCTGAATGAAAGACGCATGCTAACATTTGTTAGTGCTCAGAATAACGTTGTTTTGGCCTTTTATATATTTAAAAAAAATGTGTTGACCAACCTTAAGAAAGGTGAAATAACATTGGCACATTTATCAAAAATGTGCAGTGCTTTTTCTCCCACTTTCCAAATGTAGCAGAAAAATAAATACGACTGTGCTTGTGCACAATTAATGCATCACTTTGCATGCAAAATGCGATACCTCACTGGTCGTCAGCAGCAAGAGCTGCCATTCGCCACTAAGTGGCGGCGACGTCACCACGGCGCCTGTGCCACGCGTTCAGTGTCGAAGCCTCGCTGATGGGATGCCACGGGCCGACCGACTTCAGATGCCTGGCAGATGCACCAGTCGTTCCTCCGCCGTTCCAACTTGCTGCATTTTAAGCTGCCCGGCGGAACCAGCAGGACTCGAAGCAAAAACCAAGCCCAATAGGGCAGGGCGGAGCATCGTACCCAAACTGGACAGCAATGCCAATTTTCACGTGCCACACCTCAATCAGTAGGAGCATTGGGAGCGCTGCTAAATAAAAAACTTGCAACGCAGCAAGTTTTCACTTAAAACCCCTTCACAATCACTTTACGTGACTTTACGCGTGAATTTTACCGTCGCTCCAAATCAATAATCTCTGCTCTTAAAAGCGCAGGGGTAGAGGGCTCAAACTCCATTGTCATCCTTGAGCCAATGGTGGAAATTTCACATTCCCACAGTGGGAGCCATTCCATCCATAGGATGACCATTAATGACTTCCCACAACGTGGTAATAATTTGACATGGGAAGAAGGGCTTTTGGCGTCGGATCAGGCTTTGAACTCACATCCATGCAAATGCGATTCAAGCTTCCTGACCCACTCACACCCAACTGCAATTATAATTGGTATAATTATTCGAGAAACAAATTGCAGCCATTTCCCAATCCATTGGACTATTTACATTCATCGGCTCATAGCGGTGCATCAACAAACAGCGATTGTGCTTTGCGATTGTCGCTCGCGCAGTTTGGTGTTCAACAATAACAACTCCATGACACCACCACCACAACAACAACCAGGGGAATAGCTGTTCTCGCGGTCACGCGCGCGAGGTCGCACGGCTCGCGAGATCCCCGGGTGAGAAAGGCCACGGGTTTAGCGTCGCAAAAGTGTGTGCGGCGCGCATGAGGTCATGGGGGGGGGCGGGGGGGGGGATGGGGGTTTAACGACGTCGTCAGGGAGGGGACGAGGGCGGCTCTCCGAGCGAGGACGAGCTGCTGCCCATGGTGGAGGCGGCCTGGGCGGCGCGGATCTTTGCCTCGACGTCGCAGGGCCTCTCGAAGAAGGCCACGAGCGCGGGCTCCGTGAGCAGCGACGCCAGGAACTGCTCGCACGAGATGGACCAGGAGGCAACCTCGCCGCTCGCCAACGATGACGACACGGACGACGACGAGGAGGGGCCGCGCGAGGAATAGGGGGACGTCGTGGAGGGTGAAGAGGCCGGGGACACGAATGATGAGGTGGAGGACGAGGATGGTACGGAGGAGGTGGATGTAGAGGAGGAGGATGAGGAGGTGGAAGAAGCCGCCAGACTCGGCGTATTGGGGTCTTCGGGCTCGTCTGCATCCGTCTGAGGGAGGAAGAGCAACTTTTGAGATTTACAGTTATCCTCTTATAGCAATATAGCAGGTAAATCTCTCCCACTTCATACGGGTAATTGTATTACAATTACAAATAAGACTGTGCGGTTTTAGTGGCTGTTGCACTGCACTACGATCGTGGGCACGTGGGTTATATTCCTGGATACAAACAACATCAGTGGCAACTGGTATCCATACCTGGCCTTGGTTTGAACTAAATTAATTATAAAACTACCTGGGAATACAAATAATTATTAGTTTGGTACTGGCTACAACCACCCACTTAGTACGACTTAATTGCGCTTTCCCTGACGATGTATACATCTAAATAGGGAATCTCTGGGTAGCCAAGATGTACCGAGAACTACAGATTAATAATACCATCTAAAATCAATGTATCGATATTCAACATCTTCTTGGTTCTTTCGGTAAAGTCACGTAGAAGGGAAGTAATAAAATAATTAAAATAAAACATAATAAAACAATTCTCACGACGTTTCGGCCAGGTGAAAACCAGGTCTGTCGAGGCGACAGATGCTGTCGCCTCGACAGACCTGGCCGAAACGTCGTGAGAATTGTTTTATTATGTTTTATTTTTATTATTTTATTACTTCCCTTCTACGTCACTTTACCAAAAGAGCCAAGAAGATGAATCCCTGCAGTCACGAAATCTTGAAATCGATATTCAACACTCGCATCAATATATTATTAACTTTTAAGGAATGGTATTTAAAATGAGTATAAACAAGGGTGATTGTAATTTATTTCTGAAATAGAAATTCAACCACGCGGTGCTGCAAGTACAGTGCCCGACTCGCATTTATATGGCTGCGAGTTCAAATCAAGGTCAGGGATCAACTCGGCCCATATTCCGTCAGGGGTAAAAATAAAATCCAATGCGAGACATCAAACGGTGGCATTGCCATTGAGACGAGCCTGCACCCAAGGGGGATGTGGAAGACCCATTACTGGATTTGAGTTTGGGCCGTTCAACCACTGGAGCACTCTCACCTCACACTTTGTCAAAGCCTCCACATTGGGGGGCGGCTGTCCCGTCCCATGTGACCCTGGACTGGGTGACGCTGCATCCCCCAGGTTTGCCTGCGTCGTCCTCGAACAGCTGGTCCCTGGCTGCGTCGTCCTCGAGCATGTGGCATTTAGCTCAGCGGGTTGTGCCTCGCTAGATCCTGCCTGGTCGGTCCTCGAAGCGTCAGTCTCTGTCTGGCTCATCCTTGAATTGGGAGGGTCCGGATGCGGGGCGGTTCCTGGCGAGGCGGCGGGTCGTGACTGCGAGGCCGGTCCCACACGCCGCCCAGCCTCGCCGATGTTGAGCAGCAGGTTGGCCACCATGGCGATGGCCTGGTACAGTTCCTGCTCGTTGGGCTCCTGGCTGAACATGTTGTAAAGCGTCTTGCACAGCTGGATGAATTGACCCTGCGGGGAAGAAAGGGATGCGCATGTACAGCGACAGAAGTTAGGCGTAGGACAGCGATATAGTCATGAATACTCTTTGGTTTTTCGGTAAAGTCACGTAGGTATAAAATAAAATAAATCACGACGTTTCGGGAGCAACACAAGCGTCCATCATCAGGTGGGAAAGCATGGTCTGCTGCTGATGACGGACGCTTGTGTTACGCCCGAAATGTCGTGATTTATTTTATTTTATATCGATGTGACTTTACCAAAAAAACCAAAGAGTATGGATTCCAGCAGTCACGAAAGCTTCAAATCAAGATAGTTATGAAGATATGGATGGCCGAGTAGAGCCTGGCCCTGGCAAGGTCCTTACCTGCACTCATGCCAGGGTGCATGCAACAGCTGACTGTATAGCCAAGGCAAGGTGAAATGTATCAGCCAAGTGTATAGCCTTGGCTTGGATATTCACTTGGTATTACACTTGATTATTAAGTGTAGAGCCTTGGCTATACACTTGTCTGATCTTACCTATGTCACTTTTTGTCTGTCTGTCTGTCTGTGTGTCTCTTTGTGTGTGTGTGTTGACACACCTTGTGACGCTTTTAACTGACAAACTGCTGGTTTACATTTCAACAAACTACACACATATACGACACAATAAGCCCCAGGACGAAACAACGCTATTTGTTTTTCCCATCCGTCAAATGTAAAGTAGTGAAATTAACAATGTATGACTATTAATTATTATAATACGATGCTGAGCGCGGCGCCAAAGCACGCATCTGCGCATGCGCGAAACGCTGACTCGTGGTCGTTGCCCCTAGCAACCCACACCCGATCGGTGGAAATGAGGGAGAATTCTCATTGGCGTTCAAAATTCATGCAAAAAACAACAACGCTGAGGTTAATTCTTCACAGTGTGATGTTCTCTTCTCCCCCCCCCCCACCCCAATGTGTGCAGTTACTACTATAGAGTCGGTAGATACTACTACTGTAGTCCGTAGATACTACTACTGTAGCACAGGCGGGGGGATGGTGGAGAGGGGGGCCCAGCCCCAGTCGGCCATGGTGCCACCTCGGCCGGCTGGGCAATCTAGGCAAGGCCGGCTGCACTCTCTAAATATGGCCGACTGTGAGGGCGGCCACAAAAGAATGCCCCATCATGTATATTATAGACATTCCAACTCAACTGACAATGGCAATAATAAACAAAGTGAACATGTATACATTTTTGTGTAGATCCTTCACACACATACAGAATTCCAATCGTTCACTCGGCAAGGGTTCCTTTGCACCTGGTTCATTTTTGGTAACTCCTTCAGGGACTTCTCCCTCTCCTCCTTCTCCTCCTCCCACTTGCGCAGCATTTGTCTGTAGTCCACCGCCTCCTTCTGGCTCGCTCTCCTGTCTGCAGCTGACACACACCAACACGCACTTGAGCAGTCTAACCCCGAGCAAGATGCGGGGGGCGCATGCGTAGCCTACAGCTAATTGTACCCACTCCGGATGTACAGCCTGTCCCCGCTATAATACTAGCAACATAAAATAATAGCATAATAATAATTCGAATTTATAATGCGCATTCCCATCCAAGGATCCCAACGCGCACCACATGAAAAGCAGGACACAAAAACACAATCAGGGCATTAATTCTAGATTTGAAGCTTTCGTTAGAATCAGGGCAACCGACCAAACTAAAGAGGGAAGGCCACTTAAAAGAGATGGGTTTTCAAATTGAGGGTATGTATATACCCTATCGCTATGATAGAATAATTTACAAGAGCTATTTCAGTCACTTTATCACTCCAATGCTGGAGGAAGGCCTCCCCCCACACCGTGTCGATCATGCTGACCGTTTGTGTCCATACTTCACCACATTTGGTCAGAGCAGGTTGGCGAAGTGGGAAGGCTCTGAATCAATTCGGAGAACACACGCCACTGATGTTAGCCGTGGCTGGGAATTTAACTCGGCCCGCCAGCTTTTATAGCACGGTGCGTAAACCACGCAGCAATCGTTCCACCCCCACTGCCGCATACACTGAAATAATGTGTAGCCTGCCACTAAATGCAGAGGCACCATGTGCCATCAGCACAAGTGTGTGCTTGTGTGTATATGTATGTTGAATTTCTTTCGCACCGTAAATGGCGATCCGTGCTAATTGGAGGGGTGGTATATTCTGTCAGGGCTGAAGATGCACGTGTGATAGTGTGCGCGCTCAGTGCATAGGTAGTCAAAGCACCACTGTGTGTGCAGCTTCCCAAGGACATAAAAAGACACTGGTGGTCTTCAATTCAGGTCTTGCTCTTCATTGAAGGCCCTGGATTTTTCCAAGAAGTATGTTCTCTGTGCAATTGTTTCCATTGAAATGCACAAGAATGTGACAATTGTTCGCCTGTATACAGCAAGGGCTATAGCTGTTATCGGATTAACTTTTGATGTAACACACAAGACGGTCGTAGGGCTTAGCGGCTCAGGGTTGGAGAGCTAAAAACATCCCTCTCTGCATCGATTTGCAGAGCCGCAGAGCTTAAACAGCACCCAACCACCGAAGTGTATTTGCACACTGGCTTAGTGCCTGTGCAGGGGCTTCAATAACAACAGCACGACTGACCATGTATAAATAAACCTGCTTACAATTGTCCTGTTTAGCCGAGAGGTTAGTGGAACCCAGCTTGCCGAAGGGAAAACCATGGAACTGCATGACCTGCGAAAGCCGGATACGCTGCACCTCCCATGTTTTTGCCAAGTGCAACCGCACATTCATATTGGCCATGTTGCCACACCTGCCCATGGGTCATCATGGGAGCAACAGCTGACGACCCACTTGCCCAGCTGTTGGAGTGTGTTGTGCATAGCACTCTTGATTCATGCAAATGCACATCCATTCAAACTTGATTACCCACACACAATGGCCTGTGTGTTCACACACGGACAATTCGCTTATGACCCCGGGCAAGAAAGCCATGTACAATCGAGAGATGGCATCAAACAATGTATCTTGTCAAATCACCCCAAAATGCACCAAATCTCATCAGATCTGCAAAGCTAAGCAGTCAACACAATATAATAAACAGAATACCCTCTAGCGGAGGCCCTTCTGCCAGCAGTGGCATGAGCAAGCAAATACATGGCTGCAACCTTTATCTATTTTTTACACGCTTTTTTTAACTCACTCTGTCTGTTGTAGCCTCAAATCTTGTAACTCAATTTTAACCCAATTCCCAATGTCGTATCGACTGCAAACTTGGTATGTCATACTGATGACAATACTATATTCTATCATTAAAAAAAAATTTAAGCAATCTTTTGTGTATCTTATTTTCGGCTTGGGTCTAATTGTCCACGCTCAACTCACGTTGGCTGTAAATCACCACAGTCCCTTACGTTATGGCAAGCTTCGGGATCACTTCCTGGAGTCGTGGAGTTCTGCCATTACTCGTACGGTACATTTCATTAAAGCGTGTTTTTTTAAAAGTATTTTTAAATATTACTTATTTAGTCTACGAAACCCCACTCACCAGGGTTGTTCTGTGCGTCCATGTTGATGAACCCATCCTCCGCGTCACTATGATCCGCAGCATCCGAATCTACGGGAACACATCCCACACGTGGATACATTACAGGATGAAGTTGCTGGTGGCAAAACGATCGGCACTCAACTCAACTGGACACTCGAGCGTGCATCACGCCACTCAACACCACAGCGATGCACATTCTCGAATGTACTTGCATTATGGGTAAAGTGCGCAAACGGATATTTATCTTAGCTGTGTGATCTAATACATAAAAAAGCTAATGTAATTATGTTTTATTATATCTAATGTTAACAGCATATGCGGACAGTCCGCACCAAGTAACTTTATTTCAGAGGTAGAAATCACTATACCGTGAGGGCAAAAAGAGATGAGAACAAACTGAGGCGGATATGGCGATAAAAAGGGGAATAAAGGGATGTGAATAGATGCAGATGCTGAGAGAACGCCATGGAGTAATGGGCAGTGATAATGAACTTAAAACTCACAGATAGCCAGTCACAGACATGGAGAGAGGGCACAGGAGCGTGTGAAGAGCTGGAGGCAAGGAGGAGCCCCTGGATGGAGGCAGAGAGAAAAGCTCTACGTCCTCTCCGCCTGTGAGGAGTGGGAGGGCCCAGGCAGCGGGCATGAGAGATTGTGGCACGGAGGGGGAGCCAAGGGAGTGGGTTGCAGGGGAGTTGAAGGGAAGCAGAGAGAGGAGGCAAGGAACAAAAAGAAAATGAGAAAGCAAGGATAAATGATAGGACAGGAAGGTATGATGGAGAGAAACGGGAATGTAATTTATGAAATAGATTAAGACAGACCAGAATGAAACAGCAGAAGTTGGGAATGCTAAGTTAATAACGGTGGTTCGAACAAATCAAATAGAGTATTTTCCTGCTCCAACAATGCAAGCAAGCGTCACCAAAGCCTCAATATTATTTTGAGCCCATTCCATTAATTATTTGGCGTTTGACTTGTGAGAGGAAACTAGGACACCTGGGGATAATCCAACGACGTGAAAGAAGAAGACTCACAGCTCTGCGCTGATGGATTCATTACATTGCAGGAGTCTCATCTCCTCGTGACTAAAATCTAGTGGTGGAAATAACACATTTCTTACAGAAAACCTGGCCTATGGATATGACAAGCAGAGATGAAAGCGGTATTCATTTTTATGAACTTCAAAAGGGAACGAACCGAGTCAACCGTCAATAAATATTTGGCTTCGCAACTTTTTAGATTTTGACTCACACATTCTGAGGTAGAATCAAAGGTGGCCCACGAGGGGAAATCAGTAGAAAAAACAGAGATTTTTTATTTAGAAACCCCAAGTTAGAAATCAAAATTTAAATATAATACAACAATGTAGGCAAAAATACAATCGGCATATGTGAACTAGTCAGAAGACAGATGGTGAAGACACATTATACTCAACCAAAATTAATAAAATCATCCTTGCAGTAAATAGGTGGAGAAAACAGAGACGCAGTGTGTCCAGGGAACATCTGTCCATTGTCATTACTGGCCTGGTTGCTGCATAACAGAACGATTGAAGGTAATTATGGGGAAGTCCACTGGCGATACCTTCGATGAGGTGCAGTCGGTACAGCATTCGCAGCTTCTCAGTCAAGTCTCCGTTGTAAAGCACACCTGGAAGGGGCATAAAACAAAAACAGTAGTAAACATGAGAAATGGAGGCAGTGTTCATCGATGCTGAAGGCCCTTAAAGAGTGGTTGAAAATTAATCAATATTTCCATAGCGTGCACCACTCTGCCTAGGGCAGGGGTCGGCAACCAAAATAACAAGAAGAGCCATTTCTTTCCAATTCGGTACAAAATTCAGTATTTCAAGAGCCGCAATGCATACTGTACATACGTACTCATCGTCAAGAAGCAGCCCGTAAAGAGCCGCATGCGGCTCCGGAGCCGTAGGTTGCCGACCCCTGGCCTAGGGCAACCATCTCTGAGACTTACCACAGTTGTACTTAGTATAGAGACCTTCAGATTGGTAACTCACAAAATCTAGATAAAGGAGTCAAGAGCTTGAACCACAGTGCCACATCTGGGCAAATTCTAAAGATATAAACGACCTTGCATGGCATACAGGAGGTTGTGGGTTCAATCCCAATCCTGACGCCTGTATATTTGGAGTTTGCGTGGATTTTTTTCCCGGGTCCTCCGGTTTTTCCCTCCACGTTAAAAATCAACATGCTTTTAGAGTATTTGGCTGCTATCAATTTCCACGTGATAAGCCATTTCGTTGAGCTATCATGTGATAGCCAAGTCGCTTCTGAAAAAGAACAATAGAGCTCAGTGGGTCTTACCTGGTAAAATAAAAATAGTTTAGTTTTTATATATTTGGCATTTAAACACACAACGGCATGGCGGGAGGGTGGACATCACACACGCTCCAGGAGTACGCTGCAAAGGTCTTTCGACCTGTGGGACCCGTGGAAGACACGGCACGTGTCGCGCCTCCGCCCGCCCGCGGCGCACACACGTGGTGGGACGACGGCTCGTGTGGCCTTCCCTTGCGTCGAGACTGACCGAGCCACAGCACGAAGTCGCGGAAGTTGATGAGGCCGGTGCGAGCGACGTCCATCGCGGAGAAAACGCGCGAGAAGAGGCAGGCCGAGTGCTCGCCGCACGCCCACGGCGAAAGGTGCGCCGAGAGACGGAGGAACTGCTGGCGGCACACGCGGTACTGCTGCATGTACGGCAGGCTCGGGTCGTGGCGGCCCAGCGCGGCGCGGCCCCCGTCGGTGGCCCAGTAGACGCTCTGCACGTGAACGAGCTGTTGCAAAACGGCAACAGGTTAACTGCTGTTGCACGCTTACAGAGTAAATACTATTTTCAACTAAATATTTTTTTTATTTTACCTGTTAAGGCTCAATGAGCTATATAGCTCGTTTTTTAGAAGTGACCTAGCCACCAATGGTAGCTCAAGCAAGTGGTTTATTACGTGGAAATGTAAAGCAGCAAAATACTTCAAGTATAGTCTCACTGCACATCTGACCCATCCCAGCGTGGGGCGCCCCTCTCGGTCCGGGTAGTTTTTCCCACTGGCTATTTATCAAACTGTTAAAGAAACCAAACCGAGAAATTCTGCCTCACAAGAATCTGGTTAAGGGCCATACAGGGCCAGGAGTTAATAGTTTTTTGTCATACAATGTGTGTGATGTCAGCAGAACGGCTCTGGTTCTGCAGTGAAAAATAACCTGGTGCCTCCTGAGCCGTGCTGGGCTGGCTTGGCACAAACATCCCTGGAACCGCGTTGTACAGTACAAAACAGATTTAAATCCACACACATTCTGGCAACAAATATTTACCAACCGGCACAAAAAGAAACAAATGAGAAGCAACAACTTTCACATTCCACGCCAAACATCTTGGCATCAACAAGCATTGCAGATGTGTACAACTCACCTTGAACAAATCAAACAGATCTTCAAGCACTTTTGCTGTGAAGCCAGTGGGCCCAGTTGAGATTGCCCTCACCTTCGGAGCAAACGACAAAAAAAGTCAAGAACGTTTAACGTGAACAACGTCTTGATATACAGAGGAAAGCCACGGAGAACGTCAAGATTCTCCTCACGAGTGCACCACTTTGGATATTTGTCCAATTCCTTTTAGTGTTAGTCTCTTGTGCACAGGAAGAACAACGCTAAAAACTTTATAGCTCCGAGAGGTGACCAAGCTGTTCGCTGGACTTCCCTTCACTGGGCATCTCACCGCTCCTGCAGGTGGACTTCTGAGGCACGCAAGCCAAAGGCGATTCACCAAGCCCCTTCGAGAAACCTTCTGGACTGCGGGTGTGCGCTACCTCGCCCGGCTAAGCGTGCCTCGCGTAGCTGCGATTGTGTAGGCGTGGGCCAGTGTTCCCGAGTGCAGCTGTCAGAGGGTCAGGAGCAGATATGTGGAGGGGTCGGGTCCCCTTGCGGTGGCCGGTGTTGGGAGGGCCAAATCATGAGCACACGTGGGCTCGGCGCGCGAGGCGCAGGTTTTGACGTCCTCACCACGTTGCGCTTGGTGGTGTCCTCCAGATACTGGATCACCTTGAGCCTCTGCCTGAAACGCATCTGTTCCATCAGCTCCGATTTGATGCTGCCAAACCTCTGCAAAAATCACGGTGAAACAAAGTCAGAGATTTTGATTTAAAGCTTTCGTGACTGCAGGGATTCATATTCTTGGTTCTTTCGGTAAAGTCATGTAGAAGGGAAATAATAAAATAAAAAATATAGAAAACAATAAAAATTCTCACGACGTTTCGACTGCAACACAAGCACTCATCAGGTGTGAAATCCACAGCAAGAAAATTTGAAAAAAGTGTCCACTTGTGTTGCAGTCGAAACGTCGTGAGAATTTGAATTGTTAAATACCGCAATTATTTAATTATTTCCCTTCTACGCGACTTTACCGAAAGAACCAAGAATGTAAAAGTCAGAGAATCGTAGGCAGCACCCCCAGATTAACAAGGTGGCATTCAGGATTTCTGCCAGTGAATGCTCCGTGTTATTTTATTATATATCAGTCTACAGATTGACACGGCAGTATTAAAAAAAGACATGACTCAAAAACGTTATCCATTATATTGTGGACACGTGTCCAGCGCTGCCCGACATGAGTTTTATGTTTTATCAGACAAAAACACTGCAAAGTCCTGCTCAGATGCTCCATCATAGTACATTAGTCAAGTGACTGTGCCGTCACTCCCCTACATTATGAACACGTCAACGCAATGGCCATCATGAGAGCATTATGACAATGTGAATGACCTTGATGATAATATAGAATTTCACAATAATGAAGCGTCAAACTCCAGTTAGACAGCCCAAGTGTGTGCTGACAAAATGACAAGATCAGACCCATTACTCGTTTTTAGTTCATCGTTGATTTTTGGGTTAGGGCACTTAATGGTCTGACCAACTATTTGTTATGGGTTGTTTCTTCCATTGAGACACAAGTGAGTCATCATAACCATCAGCCATGATCAATCCCATTGCGGGACAAAGGCCTCCCAAGCCGTCACCATCAATAATGGGTCCTGCGATGTACGATATCAATCTACCAAAGGCGTGTCGACCAGTCGGCAACTGGCAACCCAGACGAGTCGGTGGGCCGTGCGAGCGGCCCTCCTTCACCTCAGCGGGCTGCAAGCGTAACCATTGTGCTTGTCCACTACTCACGACCCCACGTGTCACCCTAGACACACAGAGACAAGGCCACGCGAGCGGCCCTCTTTCACCTCAGCAGGCCGCAAGCGTGACATTGTGCTTGTCCACTACTCATGACCCCACGTGTCACCCTAGACACACGGAGACCAGGCCACACGAGTGGCGCTCGTTCACCTCAACGGGCCGCAAGTGTAACATTGTGCTTGTCCACTACTCACGACCCCACGCGTCACCCGATAGACACTTAGACCAGGCCACCACAAGGTCGCCCACCACTGCTGTGGACTCTGTTAACCATTTTGGCCACTCTCATCCCAGTAAGGCAGGTGGATGGGGGGGGGGGTGAACGGCCGCGTGGGAGTGAGCGGCACCTCGTAGGCGGTGTGCAGGAGGTCCGAGATCTCCATGGGGGCCAGGGGCTCTTCGACGTTGGCCGAGGCGTGCATGCTGGGCACGCACGGCAGGATGCTGTCCACGTTCACCACGCTGTCCAGGTACCTGCGCGGCGGACGCGTTGCTTCCTTTTAAGTATGTATTTCCTTTAAATTATTTTTGCATCAAAACACGCTTCGGTTAATTGTGACGATGCAGTATCACGACAACAACAAAAAACCGACACATCGTCTCCACAATTAAAAATAAGTAACTCAGCGGGAATATAGCCATTAAAAATCAGCCACGTTCTATCTAAACATTTTTTTTATCAGCTAAAGCCCACCAAGCTATTAGCTATTTTTCAGATGCAACTTGGCCACAAATGATAGCTCAACGAAGTGGTTTATCATTACGTGGACATTATAGCAGACTTATACTCTAAATGCAAGTTGATTCGAAATGTGAAGGGAAAAACCGGAGAACCCGGAGAAAAATCCACGGGGAGAACATGCCAAAACTCCAAATATACAGCAGGCGTTCGAGTCTGGATCAAACCCATGCCCTCCTGTATAGCAGGCGAGGTAGTTAACATCTCGCCACGACGGCGCCCCTATCCACTTCTGGATGAAGGCCACTTGGTCGCCACATTTCACGGTTATCGGCCGACGGCATCAGAAGGGAGTGGAGATCAAGCGGTCACCACCACCACCACCCCCCTTTCCCGCCCCGACCTCTGCCCGACAACGGAGTCACCGACCGTCCGAGCAGCATCATGGCCTCGCCGTCGTCGCGGCAGGCGAGCAGCGGCTCGGCGTTGGCGTGCAGGACGGCGAGCGCCAGCTGGAAGAGGACGCGCGCGCCGTCCAGCATGAAACAGTCGAGCACGCACGCGGCGCTCTCGAGCGGCAGCACCGACAGGAAGAGCGTGAGGAACCACGAGAGCGACGTGGTGGCGATGAAGCCCAGCTCCTGAAGGCGTTCGTGCAGCGCGGGGAGGAACTCGGCGATGAGCTCCTCGAACACGCCCTGGTCGATGAGGGCACCTGCAGGCACAGACAGGCACGGATGAGTTTCGTCAAAAGCCGAACACGTCTTAACGAAACAAAAAGCTCACAACAAAGATAGGCTCTTTGCAGATAAAAAATGGGAGAAAGTTTCTGTAAGAAAAAATCCTTCCCAGACACTGAAGCCACAATTGTGCACGCTTTAAGAAAACTTTTCACAAGTTGATATTTGTTCACCGTCAATAAATGATTAACCCGTTGTAAAGCATCACGAGTACTTTCGCAGTTCATGACAAATAATCTTATTACAAATTGCTTTGGCTTGCAACAGGGAAGCTGTTGTCTATCTAATGATCACACACGTAGGTGTAAGTTAACGTGTGAAACAGCCACAAATGGCGATTCTGACAGTCAAGACAAGACGTACAGAATAGCTTTACAGCCACCTCTGCAAACATGCTTAGTTCCTGACCAATGGAAGCACGGGAGTTCGTGATAAAATGGATCTCATTTTCGTCCACCAACTCAGCCACCCTAGTTGTCCACCGTTAGTGCCGGTTCTGGCAACCTCTATCATTCTGCCGTCCCTTACACTTTTCCAGGCCAAGCGGTTGCCCATTTGATCCGCTCGCTCCAACCCGACATGGACACGGCATGCAGCGCTCACCGACCACGCGGTTGTTGTAGTAGTCCGGCAGCAGCCGCTCACACAGAGCCACCAGCAGCCAGAAAGCCTCCTCCTCACTCGCAAAGATGAGCAGAGCTGACGTCACAATGTTCATGGCCTGCAGAAGAACGAGCGATGATGCCGGCGTCATTTGTCGTCTCATTGGTCGGCAGGATGGCAACTGCCAGAACATTCGCTTGCAACCGTACGCAATGCACGATAGGTTAGAGTGCTCATCTGATTAATGGGACGCAGTACATTTACTTAGCGATGTGCGTTACATGAGGGACCTCCTAGTTTGTGCATGGCGGTTACATGCACAGGTCACCATGGTTGTGTTGTAGCCTGTAATATAAATAATCGATTCTTGCACACACAATTCGATGCCTGTATCGTAAATGTAAAAATATATTTTAATCGATTGATCGCTCCAGGTCCTAAAATGAAGGCACGCCACAGTCTGCGTGCAGGTGGCATTTACGAGTGGCGCTGCTGCCTCGTGCTCTCACGATCGCGTGCGCACGCGTGAGAGCTAGTGCGTACGCGTGCAAACGTACGAGCGCATCCGTATGCATGACTACAGCTGGGGCTCGCCTGGCAGTATCCGATGCGCGGGTTGCGGTGCGCGTAGGCCGTGAGCACGCGGCGCAGGGCGTCGATGCCCAGCGGGTGCTGGAAGGCCGGGTGCTCGGGCAGCGAGCGGTGGAGGTCGCGCTCAATCTCCTCCGTGGCGATGCTGGCGCGGCCCAGCGAGCGCTCCACCAGCTCCGCGTAATGCCCGGGATTCGTGCCCATGTCGTGCACCGCCCCTACGCGGTCCCCACAAATCGCAACGCGCGCAAAGTATGTTGAATTTATGTTGAACTTCTTTCGCGCCGTACGTAGCCAACTGTGCTGATCGGAGGGGCGGGAGAAGGACAAAATGCTAAACATAAAAAGCAGTTCTAAAGAAATAAGCTTTCAATCTAGATGATTTAAAAGTGCATAGCTCCAGTGGTTTCCTAATATCGGAAGGAAGCACACGTTCCAGACGGCCGCAGAAGCGCATCTGAAAGTGTGCGATGCAGTGACCGTCTTTGTTCGATGGCTTTTCAAAAGCCGCTGGGAGGATGACCGGAAGTCGCCTGACGGTTTAAAAGCAACACTTCACTCTCGTTGGCGACGTGCGCACGTAAAAACAAGATAACGGAGCGGTCGAACATCGCCGGCAGTGGCCTAAAAACGCTGGCCTAGTATAATGGCCACCGCTCTCTCTGAAGAAGAGCCACAGCCTCGCAAAAAAAAAAAATCAGTCCGCTTCATGTTCGTCCGCGTAGCTGGCAGTGGTCGCGTGCGTCGCACCTGAGAAGAGCAGCCAGAGCTCTCGGCGGAGACGCACGGGGATGCCCTGCATGACGAGGTGGCGTGTGTGCTCCGTCACGTACATGCACGTCGCGCGGCCAAACTGCTGGAAGTGCTTCCGCCACATCTCCTCCTTTGACACCTCCTTCGACTGCAAAAGGCACCGCGCCAAACTCTGAGGCGTCAACCGGTTTTGATGACCGGGGAGTCTTATATCAAATAAAAATTACGGTTTTTTTTTTTTTTGCACGGCGTCATTCATGTAAATCTCATCACTATCAGTGGAAGCTTGATAAGCACATTAAAGAAATATCCCTCCCCATTTTATTTCTTATACACATTCTATGCAATAGATTTGCAAAAGGTGCATCAATTTGTCAATTTGATGCTCCAAATTCGCTGTAATGTAAAAAAAATATATCGATTATTGAATCAAATCGCAATCCAGAGCCCTGAAAAACACAGCGAATCGCAAGAGTGGCAAATCTTAAAACGCCAGTTAAATATTACTTTTATCGTCATTTTGAATTAATTAGATTTACATTGGTAACTTCTTTAAATGGATATATATTGACTTAATTGTCTTTTTCGAGCGCGTCAGCAGTTCATAACACGTACATCTATAAATGTGCTTGTTGAGGCTGTGTAGAGAGTCCTGTGCAGTAAATTGTTCATTATAAAGATAATAATTCATTTGTTTATTGAGTGACGGTTAGGGCAGGGAGTTCCACAAGACAGAAAATCCACACCAATCCACTACATTGTTATTCCCGGAGCACTTGTTACAACCGTGCTGACCCAGGGTCGAAAATTTGTGAGATGCAAATCTTGGTCGGGTGGTTTCCTCCGCCCATTATCCCTCCTGTGTCACTGAAACGTGCAATCACGCTGTGCCGAGTTTATAAACTAAGCTTTAATACTTGTTTACTTTACGAGGTAAGGCCCACGGAGCTAGATACCTCTTTTTCAGAAGTGTCCTGGCCACAAATGAAAGCTCAATGAAGTGACAATTTATAGCAGCCAAATACTCACAAACGCATGTTTCTAAATGTGGAGGGAAAAACCTGAGGAGCCGGAGAAAAATCCACGCGGCCACGGGGAGAACATGCAAACTTCAAATATACAGCAGCAGGTGACAGGGTCGGGATCGAACCCACAACCTCCTACATACCAGGCGAGGTAGTTAACAGCTCACCACCGTGGCACCCCTCATGTCCTGTGCGAAGACCGTGTAAAAATTATGAAGGGAATGTGCGATGTATGCCACTGGCTCAAGGCTGCCTATGAAGATGAGCCAGATGACACATCGACCTGAGATTGTCACGGAAACCATTCTCTCATCACTTCAGCAGTTACTTCCGTGCCTCTACGACAGCAACCAACACATTCCTCGTTCTTTGAAATGATGGTCTACACACTTTGAAAACTCATCTCAATCCGTGCAGCATGCAGCCAAACTCACTCACTGCACGTTGGAACATTCCTTTTCATAGCCTCACGAAGCTTGGCTCTGGAAGCCTCTTACTTGATCCATCTTAGGTAGGTTGCAGTGTGGGCCAAGTTTCTGTGTTTTTGTTGCCGAAACAAATGGTGGTGAATATTTCACTTATGTCCGCCTGCGGCCACTTCTCCATTAGGCAAACCACTTTTGATTATCGGTAAAAATCTCCTGATTAGAACACACCGACAAAGATAAGCTACACCCTGCCAATTGATTGTCCCACGGAGTATGCACTGGACACATTGAAAGCCAAGACACTAATATGTCCATTAGTTAAACCTGTGCCATGAAAACTTAACATTGCAGACAATTGTGGGGGGACTTGGAGGTAATAATTCAACATCAGCACTGTTGGTATATTTCATTAAAATTCTCTCATCTCGCCTAACCATTAGACACCAGCGTAATTACATCACTTTGGCATTGGCAGGACGTGCTTATCAACTAATGGGGCACGGCATGACGAGCTGCACGTCCTTATCGGTTGCCAGTTCACAGAAAGCAATGCCACAGCAACCAGAGCCACTTCTGTAATTTCAGTTATCTAGGCTGCCTGTCGTTCTGCAACTACAAACTGTAGAGAAAGAAAATATTGCTTTTGGCAAAGAGAATACAAACATCTAAATGACGTAACGTCTTCTCAAACAAGCACTCAATTCCACTCGTGGTCCTTGATATCGTGTTCCACCCATACTGTTTTGTTCTGTAAGTCGCTGTGCTCTCTCGTGCTATCCCGCGGTGATCAATAATAGAAGACAATGCTTGCATTGCATGTTGTGTTGCATGTTGTGTTGCAAGCCGAGATGTCGTATTAGTAAACTATACACTCAACTATTTTTATTTCAACGGAGTGCTGAGCTATATAGCTCTTTTTCAGAAGCGACCTTGCAACAAATTATAACTCAACTAAGGGGCTTATCACGTGGAAATTTAGAGGAGCCAAATATCCTAAACACATGTTTCTAAATATGGAGGGAAAAACCGGAGAACCCGGAGAAAAATCCACGAGCTCACAGGAAGAAGATGCACACTCCAAATATACAGCAGGCGTCAGGGTCAGAATGGAATGCACAAACTCCCGTTTACCAGGCGAGCGAGTTAACATCGCCATCTTCTTGCGAGCAACTTTCCCATTTCAAAGCAGAGATTGCGTACCAGTTTTATGTTGGGCTCCTCGAAGCCACCTTGATAGAAGACGTTCAGGAGCGGCTGTGTCCCTGTGAAGCTCACGGCGCCATTGGTTTTCTCGGACCCACGTGGCTCGGGCCCTCCCGCCTCCTCGTCGCGGCTGTCGCTGTCGCTCTCGCACGGAATTACCTATCGGATATTTCAAGCAGGACGGCAGTAAGATTCGATCGCGGAAGACACCGCACGAGACGGACTTTAAACTAAACTAATTTTACTTTACTAGGCAAGGCCCACTGAGCAATGTAGCTCTTTGTCAGGAGCAACTTGGGCCACAAACGAGAGCCCAAACGATGTGGCTTATCACGTGCAAATTTATAGCAGCAAATACTCCAAACACATGTTGATTCTAAATGTGGAGGGAAACTCCGGAGGACCCAGAGAAAAATCCACGCAACCACAGGGAGAACATGCAAACTCCAAATATACAGCAGGCGTCAATGTCGGAATCGAACTCACAACCTCCTGTATACCAGGCGAGGTAGTTAACATCTCACCAACAGGTTCCCTGGGGACTGCGAGTCAGTTTACAAATTCACAGATAGGGGAACTTCCAACTTTATCAATATGGTTAGTGAGCCATCATCAAGTCAAGATACAAATGTCATCCAGGCCAAAAACATGACTGATACTACACCTGGCTACGGCTTAGTTCCTTCTGTCAGATCCCACAAGTTTGAGCTAGATACGGCTCAAACTGTGGCCAAATCCTATTGGCATTGTATCCTGGCGAGAAGTAGCTTGCGGTGTTTTGTAACTGATGATAAAAGGTCATTTGTGAGCGCACTGGAACAGAAATCTTTCGGCATGGGGTTAGACTAACAAATTTCACCATGGGTTTCACAGCCTCTACCCACTCAGCCATAAAACAGGAGCACAGTATACATATGGTAGATTCATGCTGGTGGGTTAAAGTACAGGCCAAGTGAATTTTTTTCTCACTAACACCAGATTGAACTCACTTTCATCCACATCACTGCATCATGTCAATAGAGCAGTTGGGAGTTTCGTTGGAAGATAACGGTACGACTCCCAATTGGAAGGATGCGAGTTCAAACACCAGTTGGAGGGGGTTGACTCAACACTTAATCCCTCTGGGTTCAATAAACAGAGTAGCACTTTTGGGCAGCCCACGCTGTGTCCCATGTATTGATTTGGTCCCTTGATAGGAAAAAGAAACGCCGCATACCATGTTTTAGAATATTCGCAAACAGGTGACATCCCAAAATTACTTGCCAGGTCTCTTTCATTATTCAGCCGCTATCAATTTCTCGTGATAAGCCACTGAGTTGAGGTATCATTTGTGGCCACATCGCTTTTCAAATATAACTAATTGCTCAGTGGGCTTTACCTGGTAAAATAAAAAGTAGAGTTATAAGGTTATTTATTCATAGTGATTTGCTTACATTTACAATACTTTGAACTCCTTTCGTTTTCATTGTTATAATTTTATGACCAGCTCCGATTGGACATCTGTGAAAAAGAGCTTCATAGCTCATCGGATTTCACCAGGATAATCAAAGGTTCTGATTATGTGCCTTGTTAACAAAGCAAAACCTTTAGTCTGTGTGTAAACAAAAAAACAACAAATGTTATTTCGGGATTTGTTTCGTTCAGTCACTGGGATGAGAACATGAACTTGCTAAACCTGAGGAGCCAATTTCATCCGTGCAGATCCAGTGCTCTAACAGGCTTTATTCCAGAGCGACGGTGACTCCTTGAATTCTAAATAACACAACAAAAGGGTTGACAATGCGCCTCCTGCCCCTTTAATGAAACGTTGTTATTTTTTTTTTACATTCCATCAGCCCTAATTTCAGCAGCATTGGTTCAACACAAGCAAACGCCGCACTGCTATTTGACACTCAAGTGTCTCATCAGCAGAGTCAGGTTGTGCCTGAACCAACGCTGGGTAAATCGACGTACGCTCACAGGCAAGGGCCCTTGAATTATTCAAGTAACAGTCTCCTGAAATTCGACTCTGCGGCGCCGGATCCATCGCTTGATTTTTGTGTTTAGGTTCGGTGTCTTTCCCCCACACTTGCGATTGGCACGGTTGGCTACGTACGTGTGAAAGAAGCTCAACATATACAGAGTCTGTTCTCCTATACTGCCGCGTGTTTTCCTAACGCGAATTGGATAAAACGCAATGAATGTATTTAGAGAACACATAACGCGGATGCAAATTGGATATCGCGCCATTTGCATTAACAGAACTATGTCGGCTGCCTCAGTGGAGCCGTACACACAAGGCGGGATGCTGATGAATGCTGCTAGAAGCCACCCACGCGCCTCAGGCATTGTTCAGCATGCACACGCATCTCACGTGTTATCGCGGACAGTGTTTTATCATAGATTATTTATTATAACGCGGCGTTCTTCAGGAACGCAACTATTGCGTGAAATGAGAACAGACTGTACAGAAACCGCGAAGCAACGGTGGCAGCATCAGCGGTGGCGGCATCAGCAGTGGCGGTATCAGCGGTGGCGACATCAGCGGTAGCAACGGCACTCACCTCCCAGACGGCTTTGCAGTGGTCGTCGTCGTCGCAGCGCTCACGCACGACGCTCCGCAGCCGGGCTCGCACGAGCGCCTGCCGCAGGTGCAGCAGCAGCGAGTCGCGCTCACGCACGTGAGCGAACAGGAATGTAAGGCGGTTCTGCGTGCTCACAGCCAGCGCGTTGGGCAGCACGCTGGAGCTGGTGGCGGCCTCTATGACGACCACCTGCGCACCACCCGCCCCGCCGTCATAACGCGAGTTAAAACGTCAACCCCCTTTCGCAGTTTCGATGAGCCACCGCACTTGCAATGACTAGCCTAAGTGGGGCAATGCAATTAGAACCCCCGAAACTTGAAAATGATGAAGTCATTTACGAATACGAAAAAGCCTCAATCGGTGTCAAGACTTTTTCAGGGGGCTCTTGAATCGGTGTTTTTGGTCAATTCCTTTCAACGGAGTGTTTCACGTGCGAGCGGCCATAGCAACATTTGTGTATTGTTGGGGGCCGCACGTTAGTGGGGCCATACTAAAGGCCACCAGAGGTGGCCAGTGGCCTGTGGGCCTTGCAATGAAGGTCACTGCCCTACAGGATGACAAGCGAGTAAGTGGGCATTTTCAGCTAGTGAGGGAATAATTGGGGGGGGGGGATGGGAGAGGAGGTGAATGAGTAGACGAATTGGCAAATGTGCGAGCGAATTAATAATCCCTTGACGCACGAGGGTACGAGTGAACAACCGAGTGAGCGAGCCGAGCGGGCAGCCGTGACATCACTCGCCTCCAGGAAAGGCACGACGATGGTGCAGACGCTGTCGTCGCGGCTGGCGAAGCAGATGTAGCTCTGCGAAGCGTGCAGGCGGCCGGACACGTGAGACTTGTCCGAGGGCAGCCACACGGTGCAGTCGCCCTCCACCTCCAGCCGCTCCGACCGCGGGAGGCGGAACTGCGCCCTGAAGCGAGCGCTCTGCGCCCGGCCGATCAGCTCACTGCACGCGCGAGAACAGATGGACGACGTTACAGCGGGAGGCTTGGCCCTCGAAACCGCCACCGGCGAAAACACACACGGGGTTAAGTCTCGCTGCAAGGAGCACAGGCTTAACGAATCGCGACTGGAGCGGAGCCAATTCGTACACTTAAGGCTTCGCTGCCAGCCAGGACACAAATTAATCACTTTCAGAGCGTCGTGCAGCCCAAAGCTGCCGGAGCATGGATTTAAGTCGTGACCCAATTACTCAGCATCAGAAGAAGTGCGGAGACACAGAGGTGCGGTTAATTGTGCATAATTAGTACTGCATGATACCACCGGGACTGGTGGTCGAATCCCACAAATGGCTATTCCATTCTGAATTGTGCAATTCTGGATATGACATCAATGAGTTAGCGGACGTCTGCTGTAAAAAAAAAAAAATCGCGCAATATAAGCGTACCTCTACGAGCATGTTTACTACATATACTGTCATTACATACATGCGGTGAATGAATAGCCTGTGATTTACATTCCACTGGAGTACACCACTCCTGTGGGCCACGGATTTGTTGATAGTTCCTCGTACCGCTGCAGGCACGTGGTGTGAAGATGTCCACGTGCGAATGTGTGCAGAGTTGAACATTCGTTATGCCGAATCACAATGACAAATTCTCCAATGATAATTATCTATGGACTGCCTATGGATCAATAAAAAGTGCTCAGAAATGATTTTGTACAGCGGCGAATATTGCCGTGCGAAAAGCGAAAATCGCCACATCCATGTGAACACTGCCTTTGATGATGCTACCACTGACACTGCCCGATGAATGATAAAATTCCCATGTTTAAAGTGAATACTGCCATGTAACCGGTTAACATCGCCAAATGTGACCCTGCAAAGTGAATGGTGAAACTGCTCAATCAATGCTGACACGGCCAAGACAAATGTGAACACTGCCCAATCCATGACAGCATGCCCAAGTCGCCAGCGACAGCTGCCACATGTGTGGTGGGTTGATGCATGGGGGTGCTCGTAGCAGGCGAGAAGGGGCGCCGTGGTGGCAATGTTATCTCCCTCTTCTGGTAAGCAAGAGGTCGTGGGCTCGATCATGACCCTGATGATGCCTGTTGTATATTTGAGGTTTGCATGTTCTCCCCGTGGTCACGAGGATTTTTTTCTGGGTTCTCCGGTTTTCCCCTCCACATTTAGAATCAACGTGCGTTTAGAGGATTTGTCTGCTATAAATATCCACGTGATGATAAGCCACTTTGTTGAGCTATCACTTGTGATAGCCAGGTCGCTTCTGAAAAAGAGATAATAGCTGAGCAGACTTTACCTGGTCAAATAAAGACAATTTATAGTTTTAGTTTAGTGGATGGGTGAGTGGGTGGGAAAGTGAGGGTGGGTAGGTGAGTATGTGGGTATATGCGTGGGTAAGGTGGGTGGTTGGGTGAGGTGAGTGGCTGGGTGAGTGCGTGGGTGAATAAGTGGGTAGGTGAATGAGTGGGTGGGTGAATGAGTGGGTGGGTGAATGAGTGGGTGGGTGAATGAGTGGATGAGTAGCTGGGTGAGTGAGTGGGTGGGTGGGTGGCTGAGTTCGTGGGTGGCAGGTTTAGTGGCTGGGTGGGTGGGTGAGTATGGATGAGTGAGTGGGTGGATGAATGAGTTAGTGGGTGGGTGGCAGGGTCAGTGGGTGGATGAGTGTATGTGTAATGAGTGACTTCTACGAAACGTCGTTTCGAGGGCACTTCTTTATTCTCACACTGGGCACAACACAGGCCAACACTGGTTCTTCCTCTCACCGAATATAACTCTCGGCAATAACACCTCTACTGGCTACATGCACAGCCGATGACTCGGCGAGGTCCTCTCGCCCTCGTCTCCGCCGCTGGCTGGCGGTGTAACGATGACGGCGATGGAACTCATGCAGGAGATCTTCCACGTTGCCGGACGACGGAAAGAGATGCCGGTGAACAGCGGCACAGCCAGGACCCCACGAGCCCCGAGCTCCGGGTGCGCTCCCCCTTATATCCCCCCAGGCGTGGCTAAGCCCCGCCTCCGGCCACGCCCTCTCGTGAAACCTTCGAGCAGGTTCCTGGAGCATCTCGGCTAACCCCACCTGTTACCTTTGCCCCAGATACGCCTCCTTCCCTGATTGGCTGTTACCTCTGTGCCCGTACCCGTGAATCCCTTCCCAGACCAGCAGGTGTCACATTGTCATGTCAGCAGGTGTAACGCTGTCATTACATCTGGATGAGTGAGTGGCTGAGCGAGTATTGTTTAGTTCAGGCACCGTTTTAGCGCCGTGGCCCCGCCGCGCTTGCCGGGGCTGTCGCCGACGGCACCTGACGGCGCCGCTGCTGGAGACGTTGCTGGCGCATCGTCGCGCTCGTCGTCCCCCAGCTCCACGCGCTCCCCGTCGAGCAGGCGGCGCACGGCGGCGTCGGCCAGCCGCTCCATGAGCACGTGCGTCTCGGCCACGTTGAGGAACATTGAGAAGTTGTGCTGCACGTGCCGCGTCGCCAGCACGACGGCCTCCGGGAATGGGGCAGAGCCTTTCTTCTCCAGACGCACCACGTCCACCCACGGGATCGCAAGCTTGGCTGTGGCGCAGATACAAACACGCGCCGAGGGGGCAATGTCAACGGCCTTGATCCACCGGGGAAGGTTTTAAGAGTGCGATCGGAGCCGGAAATCGCCGATGGCAACGGTTGCCGCAGCATTTGCGATCTTTAAATGCCGAATTGCCCAATTATCTAAGTAACTCTGATCAGTTTCGCCCTCGTGGGAAGTTGGATCACACACACGAGGTCACATGACTGCCTGACGTCAGACCCTGTTTAGCTATGAAATGGCGACCTCAAGTCAGTGGTGTGATGGGTCATGGTGGGCCATAGTGGGCCATGGTGGGCCTCTGAGAAAATTAATTTGAGCCAAAGACTAATGTCCAATCTGTTGACCAATAACTTTTAAGCCACACTTTCGAACGAAGTCCTCTCTGCATTGGCAAGAAAGAACTCTGTCACTCAATTCTATTGGCCTCCAATTGCCATGGCCGCTTATGGTTAATGTGTCGCTGGTGACATTTGCCATCAAAGATTGCTTGAAAATTGCCAGGAGTGAATCATGGCCTGAACAATGCGCAGCAGTTCAGAGTAAAACCCGATTCTTCCTCTTCTGAAACACACATCGATTCTTGTACCTGAGAATCAAATACTGAGTACTTTGGCACATTACAAGAAAATTACATTCTAATGTCACAATTAGGTTAACGGTGCCAGCAGAATTATAGTGATGAGAAAAAGGAAGCCTTGTCGTGGCGCTCATCTCCTTTGTGACCTGAAGCCAACAGTGGAAATTTCACATTCCCCATGAATGACCAGAATCTCCACATGACAACCATTGTTGATTTCCCACCAAGTGGTACTCGTTTATTAACGACGGAGGAACTAAGGCAAGATGGGGTAATGATGACGAACACTCCAATCACCGCTCCACGTGGGCCAGCGTTGAAACAATAATTGATAGAATAAGCACCAAGATTCACGTCCAAGTTTATTCATTAAACTAGGTGAGAACTCAAGAGACCAGGAATGTCTAATTTGCTAGTGACCTGGGGCATAAGCCTGCCAGTAGAGGGCGATTTTTGCGACGTTCAATCCCAATAAAGTAATTTTCAAGTTTGGAAAATTTGGGACGCTGACACACAATGGCCTCCTCTTGCAAATGATGTCAAGGGATATTTAAACGTCCACTGTGGGAGCGGACGGCGCACAGTATTATCACGGCTATTACACCCGCAGTAATAACCAAAGCAGCCTGCTCGGCTCCAACCAACAAGCCTCTGCAACGAGCGGCGACCGTGTGCCCCTCCCCGGGCACGAGGGCCGGCATCGCTAGGCCCTCTCTCCGCCAAAGCCCCACCTTCCTTGCCGAGCAGCACGGAGTAGAAGCAGGCGTGGTTGACGCTGAGGTAGAGCCAGCCCTGGCGCGGCACGCGTCCCTTCCAGTAGCTGCACGACACGGCGGCTACGAGCAGCTCGGTGCTGGGCGCCGCAAAGAACTTGCGGAAGCGGACGAGCGCCTCCCCGCGCGTGCGCTCGGCACCGTCTCCCTCGCCCTTCATCTCCTCCGCAATTATCCCCTGTCGGCCAACACTGTTGTGTGTGCGGGGGGCGCACAGATTGGCGAGGAACAAAGCGAAGCCAGATTTAATTTGAATGTAAGGCTACGGTAAATGCAGCCTCATGGCTGGGCATGGCCACGTTAAAGGTTTGTCAACTACAAAATTGTCTCCTTGGTTATATCAGTTAAGTAGGACTGCCGGGTAATATCTTCATGATGTGCCGAGTAGATATAAAAATCGCTCATTAAACATTTTTTTTTTTTACTCAATACAGCTTATTCCAGCTCTGAAAAAAATAACAAATTACTATTGACTTGCGGCAATGACACTGAATAGAGATCCCCTGGGGGTGAATAAACGAGGCCTTCCAAAGTGACTTCAGAAGAAGTAATGTGACGTCATCTTCCGCGACCATGTTCTGACACAGGGTGGGTGCGCTGCTAGCTGAGAGAACTCCAAATTGAAATATATTCATCCCATGTATAACTGTGACCACTCACGTAGTAGGAAACAAATAACCGCCACACCCCTGATCACTCACTCGCGCAAATCCACACGCACGCCACCACACACCTTTATTTTCCCAAGGACAAAGTCGGTGATGTCCCCGTCGCTCTCAAACACGGGCAGGATGTGCAGCAGGTTGACCTCCAGCCACTGCCAGTGCTCTTCTACCTCCTCCTTGCTCGTGCCTGCGCTCACATGCACGCCGCCACGCGCCGCTGTCGTCACCCTCTCAAGGCCACATGACAGAACGAAAAGCGAATCCCCTGTGTGTGCGTGCGTGCGTGAGTGTGCCTGTGACAATGTATGCGCGCAGAGGGCGAGCGGTCGTGCAGTGGTTCGTGCACTGCGCTGCGAACCCTACAAACCGAGTTTGATTCCCGCTCACGGCCAACACCAGTTATGATTATCTGAAGTGATTCTGGGCCTACCCTAGGTCGACTTAGCCTCAAATGAATACCTGGTGCGGTGTGTAAACATCTCCACTGGGGAGAAAAAGGTAGCCGAGCGTGGTTGTGGCCAGCCACCCCCTTGTGTGCTGTGCCGGCCTTTATAGGTGCTCGCTAACAGCACTTGTCCCAACAGTCTCTTAAGGCTATACGGGGGGATCTGTCTATGCGTGCATGTGGGGGGGGGGGGGGGGGAGCAGTAGTGCAATGGTTAGCACGCTGTGCTCCGAAACCGCCCACCAAAGTTCAATTCCCGCTCACAGCCAACACCAGTGACGATTATCTGTACTGGTCCTGGCCCTCACCGAGGTTAAACTCAGCCTCAAATTGAGTACCTGGTGCAGTATGTAAACATCGCCACTAGGGAGACGAAGGCGACCGGGCGTGGTGCTGGCCACCCACCCCGTCGAGTGGCGTGCCGGCCTTCATTCAGCGTTCACAAACAGCATTTCCCCCAAAAAGTGTGTCTTCCCTATACAGGGGATCTTTGTCGTTGTGTGCACGCAAATGAAAATAGCAACCATTTGTATTTCTCCTTGGCCTTCCTCTTTGTCAATTCGACCTGAAGTGAGTACCCGGTGCATTGTGTGAACATCACAATGGAATTTGTTTTTGTCTATCCGTCTGTTTCTCTGTCTGTCGACGCAACTTGCCAAGGATTTGGCTCGCAAACCATGGGGTTTACGTTCAAAAAGTAGCCAGGTACCACGCCGTAAGCCCCGTGGTGAGCCAGCGCTATTCCGTTTTCCCATCCGTCAACTTGAAAGTAGTTATAAACAATCGAGTGCTATTTTTAAATCCTTTATATTAAGTTCACTTGCTTGCTTGCTTGCGCGCTTACGACCGTGCAAATCTTTCGGTCGTTTTTTAACCCACTTCCCGTGATCCAATCGAGCTGACATTTTGCACACATACTCGTTGTGCGTGACAATTTATTATCGTGAAAAAAAATTCCTAAATTTTACACTTTTTAGGTATTTTTTTTTTATATTTAATTACCAATTGCTTAATGGTGGCAGGCAATCATCTGACCCATAGGTGGCAGCCATCTCAAGCCAGAGGACGAGAGGACTCTAGCCGTCCGTTTCAAAGACCAATGTGGGCTGGGTTGTGGCCCATTGAACGCGCATATAAAGGATTTATAGTGAAAAACTTTGTTTTTACGGGTTAATTTTTTCATTGCTTAATTATTTCCTCAAGCCGCTCCGCAAGCGACACTGCACGCATTTGCGCATGCGCGAAACGCTGACGGGGGTTGCCCTAGCAACGCACACATGCCATCGGTGGAGGTGAGGGGGGAATTCTCATTTGCGTTAAAAAATGTAAACAAAAATACACAAAACGCTGAGGTAAAATCTTCACAGTGTGATGTCATCTTCTCCCCCCCCCCCATCCCAATGCGTGCAGTTACTACTGTAGAGGTGTAATTGCGCATGGCTACGAATGTTGAGGTGTGATTATGCATGGCCACGGATGGCCAACAAACACAAGGGGCGGGGTTACGGCCGTACACAAGGGTGGCGCTCGCACCGACGTCCGCATGTATATCCCCCACGGGCCCCCCCTCGGGGGCGAGTCCTATAAAAGGTGATGAGCTCGAGGGCTCGAGGTCGGGACTCAGCTTTAACCAGAGAAGAACGAAGACCTGCTAGTATAGGCCCCGGAGCTCCCCTGGCTCGCTGTCCTTCTAAGGGCCGACCAGGGCAAGCCGGTGGCGTGGCCCCGAGAGCCCAGACGAAGCTGGTCTGGTGACTCAGGGAGCCGGGATCCCAGCTTAACCAAGCTGGGACAGATAGCCTCCCCTAGTCCCGTAGTGGAGGAGTTGGTATAGGTTAGAGGGGTTAGCTGTCGAGAAATCCCTGTAGCCAAGTGACCTGTAATGACTGTGTTGGTGTAATAAATAAGTGTGCCTCCGATCCTGTCGTCAAGCCTCCATATATACTTACTACACTACTATAGAGTCGGTAGATGCTACTACTATAGGCCGTAGATATTACTGCAGAGTGGGCGAGGGATCGTGGGTGGGAGGGGGTAGCAACCCAGCCCCAGCCTGCCAAGGTGCCACCTCGGCAGGCTGGGCAATCTAGGCGAGGCCGGGGGCTCTGCACGGGACTAGGCCTCACCACGGCAATGTTAAGTACTATTTTCTTGGTTCTTTCGCTAAACTCCCGTAGATAGAAAACTAATATTAAAAAAATCTGTTTGGAAATATTAAAATAATAATGTGTAATAATGTGTGTGTCTAAGTCCTTGTGTTCGTGTGAGTCGATGTGCGTATGTAAGTCGATGTGTCTGTGTGTGTGAGTAGATGTGTGTGTGTGAGAATCCATATGCGTGTGTGAGTAGATATGCGTGTCAGTCGATGTGTGTGTGTGCGAGTCGATTTGTGTGTGCAACTCCATGCGTGTGTGTCTAAAGTCGATGTCTGTGTGTGCGAGTCCATGTGTGTGTGTGTCTTTTTCGCCTGGGCAACGCCGGGTACTTCCCGCTAGTGTAATATATATGTATACACACAGGTATCCCTAAATTTATGAAAGGGATGCGTTCTTCGAAAATCACATGTAAAAGGAAATTACATTATTGGAAAGGCTTTTCCCATTAGTTTTATAGAATCTGAATCGAATGTTTATTTATCCTGGAGAAATCCAATCAGCTACAAAGATCTGTTTCACAGATGTCCAGGAGGGGCGGATTAGAAAGTAATTCGGGATGTGTTTCGGACAGACATTCCAACTGTACTCCGAACCTAAAATATACATCTATGCCACTTTTCACAAGACAATTTTTTTAAAATAACATTAATATTAAAAAAGATTGAATGATTAATTTTAAACAAAAATTCTTACATTTTCAGGGAAATCACCAAAAGATCTGCTGCATGTTGGAATGACTGGCAAGGCGATGTGGAGGCGGCGTTACTGTTGCACTGCAGGGACACAATGACGCTGTCGTGGATGGATGCCGCAGCCTCCCGGGCGGCTCTGGTTTCATCTCATGGCTGGTGCCGAGTTTAAATTTCGCGAACGCAAAAATTCTCTTTCGTTAATCGGAAAGTGTCCATAATTTGTCAATCGCATTTATGCGACATTTCGTCAACCTAACGTTCATAAAAATCGGGGTTGCGCTCGTATATAAAATTAATATGTATAATTTAATCTAGAAATGTGTAAAAATTATATTTTGGATTCATCTGTAACACTGAAACTCATTTGGCAACACACCTTCTTATAAAGTCCCCATTAATGTCCCATGCGTAAACACGGCAGGAAATGACATCCATGCATTGCACGCAGGAAAGGAGAGTCCTTCAAGAGCCAAGGCTATTCAAATTCAAATGTATTCGTCTATTTCATTATTTTCAATACAATGGCCACAATCAAGTCATGATCATGCAGGGTCTGTTCCACCTTTGAGATTGTGTTCGTACCTTCTGCGTATTTGTGCGATTGTCTTTTGGAAAATTTATATTACAAATTTGCCTTGATTGCATACAGATGGCAAAGTTAATTCCCATGTAAAAAAAAATCATAATTTAACTCAATTGTTTCTCATTTTGAATATTTATAAATTTCTATGCGCTATCAGTCCGCATTGTAATGCTAAATATTGTCAAATATTTCGCAGTCTAAAAGGAGCAAGTGACATTGACAATTGAGTCAACACAAAATATTAAAAAGTATATCGTATTTAATAATTCTCCAATCAGATAAACCCAGATCTCCCTTAAAAAGAGGATTGTGTTCTCAATTGGGTCTTGTCTGGTTTTAAAGTAATCTATTTATTACCAAGCCAAACACTTGGTGTTTATCTGTGGTTATAAATTTGTCTGGTGCAGATCAATGCAAACCAATTCGTAGACAATTATTTGCTTGTATAGTGCGTGCCTCCGAGGCCAAGCGCTACTAACCCTTTACGACACAACTCATCCCCATTTTTTCCTCCCACCGTTCGGAATGACCCCACACCTATCTACTCCCACTGCAAAGGGCACCTTCACAGCGCCTTTTTCAGAGTGGAGCTGAGCAGCTTGCAGCTCTGTGGAGCAACCTTGCAAAGGAAACAATCCCAGGAGTGCTCGCTGCTTGACAAACAAGAAACGCCGCTTTCTGCCGCTGTGATTGTCAAGATACCGAAGCAAAGGCATGCAGCTGCTGTGGGGACACTGTTTCGTGTGCATTTCAGATCGCTTCGATTCAACCCGAGGATCGAGCCCAGTGGAGCCAGAGTTTTACCACGTTCCGGTCGGAATCAAAAAGTCGTGGGTGCAATTCCCAGTTGACTCAGCCCATCATCTCTCCGCGGTCAAAAAAACAAGTAACGCTTTGTGAGAAGTAAACAGCAGTTGTCCTATTGAGAGACTGGCTGCTGCACAATAATCATAAATTTCCAAGCAGTGGCACATGGCCACGAGTAGAAATGAGAAGTTCTCCATTGCAAATTTGCACACAGGGAGACGTCCCAGATTGTGGTGTGTTACTGAAGGCAACGAAACGTATAGGGTAACAGAATAAAACAGAGGCACCAGCAGCAAGATCCGTGCTTCACGTTTCCATGTGGTTTTTACCATTAACGGCTAAAGTATACAGATCAACGCTGATGGATTTTTTTTTCTGCCGATTGCAACTACATGGGCGTGAAAATTCAATTGCAATTTGCCACGATCGATGTGTGCAATTAGTGCCGTGTTTAGCGCATTCGTTTCAGGAATCGATGCCTCTGACAAATGTTTCGGTGCTTGC